CCTTTTTTTTTTTTTTTTTGTTAACTGCCCTTATTTCCACAAGGAATCCCTGAGACATACCCAAAACTGTACAGTGAAGATAATCACTGTTCAGAGAAACTGGTTCAACCCCTTCTGGTAGGATGTGTAGGATATTTTGCATGAGAACCCAACTGTTCATCACTTCAGAATGAATCTGTTTTCATTGGGACCATACGCTGTTCGGAACGCAGGTTAGATTCATTACAGGGTAAATTATCCACTTCAAAGCAGAAGCAAATGCCATGTCAGTCAGCTACATTAGAGCAATCTGCACCAAAGTTAAAGTTTTCCAGAGGATATCTGGGGACATCACCCACCCAGAGCTCACTTCCGTGGGCGCCAGCTGGTGAAGGCAGCAAGCAGATAAAACGTTAGCGCTGCTGGACCAAGTGCACGCGCACGTACTCTGTGCATCTCACCGTGTGTGTGCTTGGGGGCTAGGGAGGGGAAGGAGCACAGGAATGCATTTTTCCCTCATCAACTATGTACAGTTTTAAGGTCAAAAGCCTGAATTTCAACCTGTTGACTTCCAAACTAAATTCTGTGAGCCAAGGAAGACTGAAAAGGTGCCAACGCTTATAAGGAGCTGGAAAAAGAAAGCCTTCTCTACTGAGGTCCATCTACTGCCAAACCCACTGACTTAGTTCATGCTCCACTGCCACCCTATTCCACAGGGGCCAGAGAACAAGCGTGTGGAAGCAGAATACAACAGGGGAAAACGAAGAACCCAACAACCAGGAGACAAGTAGCAGAACAGCAAAGGAAAAGCTCCCAGAACAGAGTCACTTTTTTTGTTTTGTGTTTAAATGGATGAAGATATGGGTGAGAAAATTGTTCCAAGACACAGTATTCTGCAATTCCTCCTTCTCCCACAGGCTTTTCATTCCCAACAAAATAGCTGAGAGAGCGAAGTCTCTCACAGACTAGGAGTCACCTGAAGTTCAAATTTAAGCTTAGTAAATTCAAATGTCAATTTTTCCCCCATCCATCTTTACTTTTAGCTGGGCTTCTTCACACAGCTTTTAAAGAGAATGATCTGTAACTTTTGTGATTTTCTACTGATGCACTTCTCAAAACAAGAAAAATCTGTGAGAAGGCAGATGCTCACTAAAAGCCTACACATTCACTGCTGATGCTCCTCAGCATCCAACCTATCAGTGTGCTGTGAAACCCTACTCACTGAGCTGAGAAATATTTGACGTCTAGTACACTGTCATCCTAGCACCCCAGATGTATGCTATGAAATGCAGCAATCTCTCCTTCTTTGTATTTCACAGCCACAGTCACTTAGGACCAAGCCACAGAAGACTTACAGTTGGCATTACCTACCCTGGAGAACTATCTGAGAATGGGAGACTAAAAGAAAGAATGATGGATAATGCAGAAGGAAATAAAGGGAGGGGAGAGGGGTAAGAGGAGCAGCCCACAACATCCCAGCACTAAATATCACTCAAAAGATCCAAATCTACTCCTTTAGTTAGTATCACTACCACCAGAGGATGCTGCAACTGGCCTGCATAGGAGACTTCTTTACATGTCATGGCAAAAATTCAAAGGCAAAAAGAAACATCCCATGAGGAAAGCTGCCCAGACACCCACACAGTGCTTCACTGCAGAAGAATCATCACAGGTAAGTTGCCTACTGTTTGCCTGCTGAAAACTCCCCTTGCTGCAGCTTGCCTTCCACCACTTGAGAGATTTAGTACCAGGGAGCTGGTCCTGCTGATGCCTACAGGGAAATGCAACAGCCATTGCTGCTACAGCGCCATGGAGGAGCCGGAGCTTCAGATGTGGACCAGCAGCATGTGCACTTAATCACTAGGGACAACTTCTCAGTGAAGACACCTCTACAGGATAATATTCCTCGAGACCCATCTTCCCTAGCAAGGCAATTCAACCCTAGACTGTACTTAGATGTGGTTACACCAAAACAGCCTCTAACTGAATGTGGGTACTAGCTTGCAAATTCATTCCCAGCCCCTCTTTCAGTGTTTCTTCCCTTACATTTGTACTTCCAATGCCATCTCTGATTTTTGCCTAACGGGTTGTAAGCTTCTCAAGGCATACTAATGTTTTCAAACAAGAACTGTGAATCCTCATTCACTAACCTGCTGAAAGAAGTGGGAAGCCTAGCTGTTGCAGACGATAGTGTATGAGGCAGACCTTCATCTGTGCTACCTCTCAGCATTATTGATGTAATTGTTTCACTGACCTTTATGTCCAAAGACACAAAGAAGCTTGCTACCAATGAGAAAAGAACTAAGCAAGAATCTGGAAGAAGTGGAAAGCTGGAGGGGACAAAAAATGGCATCTTTCCTATCTTCTTGCATCACAGATGCATCTTCTTCTATCAGTTAATGACAAGACCTAAGAACAAATCAGCCTTGAGGTATCTAAGTGAATATGGCTCCCCTCGAAATTGGCCTAAAATCTTCCTAAGTGAAAGTGTGTCTAACAGAACACCTCACACACCAGGCCACCATCAGGCTGCTCCTATCAGCCTCCATGCTGTTATGTGTCATTCTGTCAATTCTTGCACTTTTGTACAAAAAATAATTGAGATGCAGCTATTAACAAAAAACGATCTTAATGGTACTTTATTCTAAATCTAATTCTTTTCTCCATTCTCTACAACTCAAATCTTATGTAAGGAAATTAACTTTTAAGTTAAACTAGCTTTATTCCATCCATTCATATGTAAAGGGCATGACAGATATTGACCAACTCAAATCAATGGACTGAAATTGCTACACTGACTCTTTGGTGAAAGGGCGATTAGAGTGCTAATTGCTGTACAAGGAGATGATATTCAAAAACCTCAGCAAGAGAGCATGAATGCTATTCAGGAATTACACAAGGAATACCTCATGCAGACCAGCAATACTTCCCGGAGGGAGAGGCGCCAAATTTTTGGCTGTGTGAGGTTCTCAATGGGATCTTCCACATCCAGCAGTAAGACACTGATCCACTGAACTCAATGGGCTCTGCAGGCGTAGAAGTCTACTGATACAAACTCTGCTGTAAACCTAAGATCAGTTCTCCTAAGTTCTCGTCAGGCTGGCAGTGGAAAAAATAGGAGGTGAATCAGGAGAAGGCAAGAATGGTGGCCCATTTCAGAACTCTATCAGACAGGACAGAGGGATTCCTACTTCCAATGTATATGAACAAATTCATTTTTAATAGTACAGTTTACTGCAAACTTAGTTTGCTCACTGAAAAATGTTACCTCATCACTTTTCAGGAAAAGGTCATCAAGGGATATACAAAACTGAAGTTTAAGTGGTGTAAGAGTCGATGTCCTAGGTTGCCTTATAGGAATGCAGATCCATAATGGCCAATGATTTCAAACGAGAATTATGAACCTGCATAACTTTGATAGCTTTTGAAATTCCCTGATTAAAATAACACTCAGATTAGGATCTGGATTCTGTTCTGAATTACACCAGTACAAACTCACAGTGACCTTATACCAAAGAGCTCCTCTGAAATTTATACCAATTTGAGCAAGCAGAACTTGGCCCTCCATCCCTCCCCCCCCTCACACCCTGCATTTGCTAAGAAAGAGAAATGTAATGTGGAGCAATTAAACCCTGCAATAGCTGCAGCTTCATGAGAGAGTTTGATGGGCACAAGAATCATTCCAAGACCAAAGTCCTGAAACCAATTTATAGAAATTAACATCCTCTAAAAGTGACACAAATACACAAGCAGATTAAAGAATTAACCATTTGGTATGCTAGTTCTTCACTCTTTTTCAGCCAGTCACCCAAAACATGAAGAAAGAATATGGACACAAGGAAAATAATTTGCAAATCAAACAGTTGTCTCCTCAACAAAGTGTGGGGAACTTAATACAAAAATAAATAAATGCCTTGTCAGATTTGCCTCATTTCACAATACCACTGGGCATTCCTCAATCAGCAGGACAATCACAAGCAGGATTTCATAGGCTTCAATTCAACTTTTTACATGATTTAAAAACATTTAAATGTTACAAACATATTTAAATCACCACTTAAAAAATATTTGCCTTATATTATTAAGATCTATTTTACCAAGTATGAAATAAGGACTTCATAACAACAGAAGCATGAAAATCATTTTTGTTTCCTCCACCCACATACACTTGCAATTTCATAAAGGACATACATGTCATCCATACTCCTTTAAGTTTAAGGAGGACAAACTTTTCAAGAAAAGGAGATAGTATGATTGCTATGATAGTAAGGAGACAAGACCTCTCCCATTTAAACTCTGTTCTTTAGCAAGATGAAAGGAGAGGTTTGGGTCAGAGTTCGATGTGGGCCTGACTGCTAATGAAATGACTTTCTGTAGAAACTAAACTTAGTTCAAAGATTTCTTGCTCAAACAATTTATTAGGCCTCCCTATCACATGTGCTTGGTTCTCAGTTTCCTGGATTAGACTAGAATATATGCAATAGGATGTATTACACTAAGGTGGAAGGAAATCCCTCTTCTACAGTCGGAGACTGAAATGTGGGTTTTTCTATTCTCACTCATTTGCATCACAGAAACAAGTCAAGAATAGTAGAGACTTGTTATACTAATGAAATAGGAGTTGCTTTTACAGTCAAAGTATAGTAGCAAATCTGAGCCCTATAAAGTCACAAGCAAATTCCTTTTTTCCCTTCCAGTAAAGAGATACATGTAAACACCTCTGGATTTCTGCTGCTGTTATCCCTTGGATTAAAAACAAAGTAAAAAAATAAAAACATCTAAAAGCTAGTGGACTCCATTCTATAAGAACTGAAATTACTCTGAAATTACTACCTAAGAGTCTGAACACTGTCTTCAGCAGGTGGGCAGTAAAAGCAAAACTGTCCTGCCAAAAAAAGAAAGCAAAAGAACTCTTATTTACCTATTTTGCTTTAGTGATTTATCTTTTGGTTAGCCACAACTGCTGATAGGTACCTGCTAGTTCCTTACACACACACTCAGCTTCATGTTAAGAGCATCAAGTCCCATAAGAAATCCAAAAACAATATGGCTTGGTGTGAAAAAAAGCTAATAAAGTCACAATTTGAAACAATTTGAGAAATGCAACCGTTTGGAACTTACCAAAGGGCCTGAACTAGACTTGTGTGGATGGGCAGAATACCAATTGAATTCTTCCAGTTTCACCTGGAAAGTATCTGTCAGCCTGTCAGGCAAGGAGTCTGGGACAAAGCCACACTTGAAAAGGCAAATCATCAATGTTACAAGGCCACAGTAATTCAGCAGGGAAGGGAATTTCTGCACAGGAATCTTCACTATACCATTATTCTATTTCAACATTTCTGGTTTTGTTGTTCTTTTTTAGTTTTTTTTTTTTCCTCTGGGTTAGCTTTGCATCAGCCTTCAAATTTATGGGCAACAGTCAATTGTTCCCCTTGCTGCTCAATGAATTAAAAATCATCATCATCAAAATAAAAGTCAGCATGCATTAAGAACAGTGACCAGATCCAAAAGGGGACAAATCCCACTTTTTCCACTTCTTCACCAAAAGCAGAAGAAGAACTGCTGCTTCCTGCACCCCAAACACACACACCACGCACACAGAGGAGATCAAGACACTATCTTAACAAGCTGTCAAACTCATTCTTGAACATGGTCTTGTTTTAGGACTTCAGTGCACTATTCTCAATTCAATGTGCGCAGCCAAGTTTTCAATGCCAGATGCTACCTTTGGGAAAATAAAAAATAATAATAATAATAAAAAGACTTCTGCCCACTGGAAAACTTTCTACCAGATGCTAATGGGATGGCAAGCACTGATCCAAACCCTAGGAATCAGTAACATGCATCCGTAATCTGAGGTATCTTCCCATTGCTAGGTCTTACTGCTAAGATCAATTACATCCAGTAACTGTGCTGTATCCTTAAGGAATTACTGGGGAACAGTGAACCCGCCTGCACTAAATGAGCACCAGTGCGTAACAAGCACATGTGAACGCTACAGCAAGGTTCACAGAGGGCTAACCCTGGTCAGTACTGAAGCTGGGGTTTTCTTTTTAACCCCTTCGTTTAAAAAAATTAAAAAAAAAAAAAAAAAAAGGGGGGGGGGGGGGAGGGAAAGGAGAGGACAGAAAAAAAAAATAAAGGAAGAAAAGAAAGAAAACACAGGTCCCCCATCTACCTGCACAGAGCCAGGCAGACAAGCTCAGCTGGAGGTGGTGAAGGGCGCAGATGCATTATTGGTACTGGTAGCGGTGGCACCGGTCACTGCAAAGCCTGTGGGAGGAGCTATGGAGCTGTGGCTGGGCTGCAGGTCCTTGGGGATGCCACTGTGGGAACTCAGCTGGTGCCCAAAAGCTGCGCTGAACTGAGGGAGCTGTTGTTTAGGGGAGGTGGAGGCCATGAGTTCAGCGGAGGCAGGACCCATGCCACTAAAACTGGTCTGCGGCAACCCCGGAAGCACACTGGAGCTGTTGGGGGTCACAGTGGCGAAGGCAGGCTGTGTGGTCTCTGAGTGCGAGGTGGTAGGTGGTGTGGACAGGGAGGTGGACAGGAGATGTCCATCTGCACCAAGAAGGTTGCTAAACGGAGAGGGGTCCCCAAGATTGACAGGAAGATTTCCCCAATGAGTTCTGGGGTTGACCACCCCGCTAAGTGGCACGTCCAGCTGAGTTGGGAGCAAGTGCTGTGCCATCATGGGCATCTCTGCTGAGAAGGTAGCTGCCAGGTTATCACCAGAAAAGGATGCGGTGTGAGGGGATGTGATATGGTCACTGTAGGGAGACGGCACATGCTCGCTATCATAATGGCTTCCATGGGGTGAGGAGTGTGAATGGTCACTGCTGTATTGCTGTCGTGAGGTGATCAGGTCATCTGCCTTGCTCAGCAGCTGGGCAGGGTGGGGCCTCTGGGAGGCATGGCTGCCATCGTGAAGTCCATGAAACTGTCCTGGGAAGGCTCTCTCCCCAAGGCCACTCTGGCTTATCAGAGTGGCAGAAGTAAGGCCGACGTTGGCTGGGGCTGAGAATTGCCCCTGGATCTGCCCTGCCAGGGGCGTAGGTGGGTTGGACAAGGTAGCAGAGCGGAGCAAGTTCTCATCCAGCTCCAGACTGGAGAAGTTATCATGTACTATACGCCCATTCAACAGCTCCCCCAGATCCGTGTTAACCTCTCGACTCAAGGACTGCATTCCTGGAGCTCCAGCACCTGTAGAGAACACCCCTATCCCTCTATCTGACAGCTCCTGAACTGGCACACCATCTGTCTGTGTAAGTACTCCAATGGTACTCAGGCACTCAAGAGAAGTTACAGCCTGTAGGGCCCGTTCCAGTTCTTCAGCCTCTTCTGTTGTTGGAAGGAGATCTCCATTTTTACCTGCAGAAACAGGGACATCAGAAGTTAAGCACTCATCTCAGGCGGCCCCCAGCACTCGAAGGATGCAGGGGTACAGAACAGCAGTGTATAAGTTTCCAGAACGGCTTGTGGTACAGAGAAACCTTTCTTCACCAGTGTTGACTACAAAAGCAGCGTAAGAAAAACTGGAAACTAAAACATTCCTCTCCTGTGAAATTCCTTCTCCCTTCCTCCTCTTCAACTTGTAGTATAAGGTGCCCCCCACTCTCACTGGATTTAAAGCAAAAACGCTTAAGCAAGATTTTCATCAGTGCTGCAATAAAATTCAAATTGTCTACAAATTCCTTTCTGCTTACTGCATTACAGCCTAAAATTTATACAATCAGTACAATTTAAGCTAATTTCTATTGAAGTGCATACACTGATATCATATCTGGTCAGAAAATGAGCAAAGAAATCACACATTCCACACAGCTCCAAGCTGTTCTTATTTCTTCGTTACCTGTGATAGTTACCAAGCTTCAGAATCCAGAAATTCAGGCTGATCAAAAGCTAATTTCATAAACGTATTTAAAGATCTTATTTTCACTCTCCTCTCCTTTTATCAAAGACCAACATTGAACGTGATTTCAGCCCCACTCAATGGCAGAAAGATGCCATTACTAAGAATATGCTTGATTAAACTGCAACACTGACAGGCAATAAAAATGCAAAATGAATTATTAAAAAGCTAAACCAATTAGGATTTACAGAGCAGTAATTATAAGAGCAAGCATTCATCTATACACACCAGCCTTCTCAAAGGCTGCTTTACTTCAGAGCTCACAAACAATAGGGAAGACGTATTCTCCCTTGTCTAGAAGTTACTGCCTCTCTGAGAAAGCAAGCAGCCCCTCAAAACGCATGCTTCAGAAATACTTGTTTTTGCAATTCACTGACTGCATTCACACTAGCATAGAATAAAATAAAACGGTACCTTCAAAGAAATCAAAATCTTGCAAGTCATCGGGCAGCCGTGGCAGGACATCAGAGAAGTCTTCCTGATTCAATTCCAAGTCATGTGGAATGTCTGTGATTTCATTGGCGATATCATCAGGCAGCTCATCGGCACTCAGCTCTGGGGTGGAGGGGCTCCTGGACAGAAAGAACCATTAGTCCCCAGTGTTTGACTTTGATTCCTTCAGACAACAACTATGAATGGACATTTCCTCACACTTTATCCATCAAATTCAGTATTTGCTCAGTTCTAAAATTACTGACTCTTAAGTTCAGTTGTTTTTTTTCCCCAACAGTCACATGGAGATGTAATTTCTCCAGAAGCATCTTCCTGCTCCAGATGCTGGCAGCACAGCAACATCACACCTTTCTACAGTACTTATTGACAACATTCAAGATAGCAAAGAGCAGGGTGGGGCAAGGCTGCCACTAACCGTATATGGGGCATCTCTACTGGCAGTGAGACACTGGCAGGCATGGTGAGGTTCCCTTGGGGCACTGCAGGAGGAATAGGTTTCTGGGGCCGGCGTGGGCCTCGCCTTCTCTTCTTCTTGTGTTTTTTGGTAAGTGCAGGTGGCTTTGTTTTTTTCCTGGGTTTCCTCTGCTGCTGGTGCTGAACTTTACGGGAGCTGTCCCCCCTCAAGAAGTTGTCCTTTGGGAACAAAACAATAGCAGCAGAAGCAAATAAAGAACAAGTATTACTTTTCTTGCCTTTCTTTCCCCTCATTATGTTCCTATGTCATGCAAGAGAGACCACTAACTTAAACCCAGGCAAGACACAAATATTAAGCTGTTTCTTCCCTGTCTGGCAAAAAAATCACAGACACCAAAGTTTGGGGTATGGTAAATAGAAGAGGCTGTATAGCGTTATTTAACAAAACCATCGTAACAAATCCTAACTAAATCTCTGCAAAACTGTTCTTTTGGTAGCATTCCTGTGAATACTTTGGTAAGGTGGTAATAATGGAGTGCAGCAGCTGCAGACAGCACCCTCAACTGTCCTCTTCCGTATAAAAGAGACAGCACTCTAGGACTAGGGATTTGTAAAGAGTATGGTTGAGTAAGTATGGCTTCACTGCTTTCTAAGAGTAACCCAGTGGCCATTTACAAAATAAAGCAAATATTTTTCAATTCTCAGTTACCATTATGCTGCGAATGGCAGAGGATTTTATCTGCTGCAGAACTAAATAGTGACAGACACGGTAAAGACTAGCTGGGAAAAGGGAAAACATCCCATACAAACCTGTTTGTTTAGCAGAAACCATCACATTTTAACCTAGAAAACTCAGTATTTCAGAATTATTAGAAAGAGGGGGCAAAAAAAAAAAAACCACAAAAAAACAACAGACTCCAACAACAGAACAAAACAGAACCAGCAGTTTTATGCGTACTGCCTTGAAGAAAGGGCAAGACAGTAGTGGCTGCACATGATCTGAGAAGTTTTGTTCTGGAAGATTGAAGGCATAAAGGGAGAGTAGAGGACATCATCTCTATTTGTGCCTTCTCTCACTGTGTTGTAGGCCACTGCTTTTCCTCTGGGATGCAAAGATCCCTGAAGGGGGTTAAAGACAGCTTCTTTAGTCACTGAAAGGTAAATTAAGTAGCAAAATCATTACGTTTGTAATTGCTTAATTGCTATCTACACTTCCTCTAGAAAATGCCTGGGATGCTGCGTAGCAAGGTTGTTTGAAAAGCAGTGCTCTGTCCATACCACAACTCATAGTACATTCAGAACCAAGGGCCAGGAGTGAGTCCAAATAAAATGGCCACAGGATCTCTAACAAAGACTTTTTTATTTCTTGATACAGGAGAGGAGGATATTCTCATGTGCACTTTGTTATATCATCAAAAGTATCTAAAAGATTTCTACAGCATACTTTAAACTAACCAGGAATCTTTTACCTTCTTAAGAAAGTAAAAGGCAATGAGCTCTTAAGTTTGTGAATTCTCCAGTTATCAAGCAAGTGTTTACTCAGTACAAAGAAATAATTATGGTTTTGTACTCACCATTTTTTTGGCATGTTCTTCGCACAGAGGTGTCTGATGTGTAATGTCAAAAACTGGCACAGAGCACTGCTGACCATCTGCAAACTTGGCCGTGCAACTTGAGAAGAGCTGCTGAGAACGGTTCAGTAAGATATCTGCGCATTTCTGAATCAGGAATAACACACAAGGCAATGATGGAGAAACGCCCTTTGATTTATCCATCTGGTAAAGATCAGAGCCTTCAACTTTATCTGTCCACGGATGCTACTTTTAATGAGTATCTTAACTTTGTTATTCAAGTTCAAAGCTAGGTAAGGCTCAAACCCAAGTTTTAAAGTGAAAAAGTGCATTCATGCAGAATCTCTAATGATTTTATTATATATTGAGATAGTTTTATGCAAGCAGCTATTTCACTAATGAGTTCTTAGCAAAAAGAAGTCTTTTCCTGGATTCTTAATCAATAGATCAATAGTACCAGTTGAAGCAGCGTAGTCAACACGACTATTTCCTTACAGACTAATGACAATCCATACTGAAACATTAAAGAAACACTATTTCTTAATTCAATCTTTTGAGGTACATTCTTGGCATTTATCTGTACAACTCAGACAAAGAAGTTTCAAGATCCTTCCTGCTCCCCTGAAAAAAAGATGTGTAATCAGACACAAAGGTCAAGTAAATCTAAACGTAAGCTCACTGATATTTCCTTCAGAAAAATTCCCTGCAGAGGTGAAAATGTTTCTAGTCTTAAAGCAAATCTAACAGGTATTTCATTGCGGCTTTTTTCAGCAACAGTAGAAATACTCCTTCGGTCTTGAATAGTTTTCAGTTTGTTCTACCCTCAAGATCATTAGGTGTGCTCAAAAAAATACTAAAATGCTAAAATGCAAAAGCAAAAGAAAAAGAAAATGGGAAAAAGAAACTGCAGAAGGCAATCTCAATTGCAGACTGCTTGTTTCAGGTTTCCAGTGAGAAGAAAGTATAAACAAAACAGGTAGAAATGCAAAAATTACTATTCTTGACCACTCTATATACACCCACAAACAAAACCACTTAAAGAAAAATAAAATAGAATTCTGAGTCACATGGAAGATCCAAAACACAGCCAAACCAAACAACTGAAAAGGTCCACCATCTGCTAGCAACTGGAAAAGAGACACACTAGTCTCTTAAAATACCAAAACCTTCAATAGAAGGAATTTCACCTACAAAAGCTCTAAGTCTTCATCTATAAAAATACCAAGACTGCAGAATTCTTAAGTATTCCAGGTCAGAGGTCTGCTTGTTTATAGTGTTCAGAATTAAACCTCACATCTAGTATGCTTCCTCCTCTCTGTGAGCTTCACGCATGAACTCTTTACATCTTTCCAGATGTTGCTTGAAATTCTCTGCACTGGGAGTTCTTCCTCATTTAGAATTTGGACTTTCTGACTCCCTCTCTTCTGTTTCTTTAGCAATGCAAAATAACAGATTTCCACCTTCCCCAGTCACTGCATACGTCATCTTTTTCAACCACATGTGAAAATTTGTTTCTATAAACCTTTCATAGGTAGGCAGCCTACTTGAATCTACCAAGAATTATATGAAAGCTATGAGATTGAGGGCCACGTGTTTTGTACCATTTTATCCATGAAATAAGATCATTTTCATACAGATTTCTTATACCCACTAGACATAGCTTACGGGAGTAAAACAATGTGACTACGAAAGGTATCAGTAACAAACCATTTATCTTCACTGTCTGCAGACCCACAAGGAAAAACTAAAAGCAATACAGCTGACAAGACACTAACAAACACTCATTACTTTGTGACAACATCTTTGTCAACGAACAACTCTAAAGCAGGAAAGCTTCCACTTCTAAACAGTTAAAAGGATACGCTGAAAACAATGCCTGGTGAATGGAAGGGCCTTGTTAGTGCATGGTTCTCCCTTCGAAGTCCCACTACAGGTTGTTGGTTCTGCATCTCTCTGCCTGGCGTGGCTTGCGCTGAAACAAAAGCATAAAAGAGTTTGGAGTCCAAAACTCAGTCTCAGGTATTAACTTACCACAACCATTCCACTGACTGTGGCACAGCAGGATGAAACACTGTAGATCACATGTGTGTGTGTCATGATCCAGATGGGTGCACATCTACTACCACACTCTAAACAGGGATACAGAATAGATGTCAATGAAAGGTGGATACAGAATAGATGTCAATGAAAGGTGAAGGTATGACTGTATTAACAGGATTGTTATTAATTTGATGGGGCCTTCATTGTAAAGAGAGGTGCTCTGGTGCTGTTACTATGTAAATATTACTACACCCTGCAACAGAGCCCTGAACAGCAATAAGTGAGTGTCATCATAGGTGATCCTTAAAATGAAGTCAACTTCCAGAATACAAAGTATTGGGTATGCCCACATGGGCAGTCAAGTGCATTTTCAAGCCTGTTCACAAATCAAAACATGCCGAGCATCCCCAGAGCTAACATGCAAGCATGTGCTCAGACAAACTTAGACTGAGCTCTGGAGTGGCAGAGCCTGAGCGTGCTCAACATGGGTAAAAGCTCTCCGTCATCAACGTGCTACAGCCCAATCCACCAGCAGGTCCCCAGAGTGCTTCCTCAGCACAGCCTCGGTGCTTTGAGCCTGAGCTGCAAGCAGGCAACCAGACAGCAGTGTGGATGAGTACTGCAAGTGTTACACAGCTCACTCGGTGTTAGCCTGCTCTCAAGGCATTTGTCACCTTCACGTAGATAAAAGCTGGAGGTTCCAGGGCTGAATTTCACCTCTGTACACGTTGTTTTCTAGGTTGACAAAAAGCTGTCTGTAGCCTGACTGCTTGCCTTCATCCATTACTGTCATCAACTGCACTTTGACTGAGCAAAGTTTTAGTTAGCGATACTACCCATGAAAGATTTTGTAAATGAAAAGTCTGCAGTTACCTAATTTAACTAGAGCAGTGATGACAGGCATACCTGGCTACACCAGTCTTCTGAGAACAATTTAATCTTTCATGTAATGAAAGGCCTCAGTAGCAAAAAACCCAGAAAGAGTTTGTCAGTTCTGGCAAGAGTTTTGCTGTAGCTGAAGTTTGGAGACATTTATGTGTCTTCATAAATGAGTCGTATACCTCTATATTACACTTTTGAGAAGTTATTCCAGCATCACTCCACCTCCCCAGCAATAAGCCCTCCCACTGCCAAGAACTACAGCCCACTGGCCAGGAACAAGAGCATCTAATCATCAGAATATACTCTCGATACCGGGCCTGTCTCTCATACCAGCTCTCCCCAAACCCACAGTAACACACCCTGTAAAGCAAAATCAAGAAATCAAAGGGAACTGGGGGTACCCAAGGGTTCAGACTTACTCAGTCTCTACACAACACATATCAACCAACTCTCAGTACGCCAAGAGCTGGAGGGATGTTGACATTACCTAGAAAAAATTCCCACTGAAGGTAACCTTCAGAGCTGTTAGAAGATTTTTGTTACCGAGTTTCATTTAATGCTAGATTGAGTTAAATCTAATAAAAAGCATGAACTTAAGTTTGATTTGCTGGGAAGAGAATTAAAAAGTGGTAAAGGCTGGAGGGGAGGGGAGTTTAAAAAAGCAGGAAAAAAAATATGAATTGAAGCAGTAAACTGCAGACCAAACTCAACACTTTCTGCACAACTGGGCTTAGCAAAGTGCCAGATATTTGGAGACAGACAAAATGCATACATTCATTAGCAAGAATAAATTTTAGTGGGCCACTAAGTTCTCTTAAGATATTAAAGAATCCAGCTACCTCTGAACAAGCAATCCACGTTTTAGAACACAAAGCTGAAAAATGCCTCTTTTAATAGAAAATGCCATGATTATTTTACCCTGATGGCAGCATTTTCATGCCACGGCTGCTCTGCTGTGAGCATGCCTACCAGTTTCAGAGTTCAGCATTTCAGCTTCAGCTGCTAGAAACCCTGCCCACCTTCACCCTGCCCCAGCCATGGGTTACTGCAGGTGAAGCTCTCACCTGCTACGAGCACAGGTCGCTCTGCGGAGCTCCTGGATCAGTTGCCCGGCACGCTCTGGCTCTCTGCTGGCCGCCTGCAGCAAGGCTTTCCGGAGCGTGTGCCGGCATTTCTTCTGACGAGATTCTGCCCGCTCCAGGCGGCAGAGGTGCTTGTATTTCTGCTGAAAGTAAGTGCAAAGTCTGGTCACCCTGGAACTCCTGTCATCCGCATTGTCATCATCGGACCTGGAGGCAAGAAAAAAGAAATAAATACAAAGAGACTTTAACCGATTTCTTTTTTTTTAAAGGAACTTTAACACGTCTATTTCATAGAATTGTTAAGTTGGCCTCCATCTTCTAGCCCCACAGATATCCAAAGGCTGCAAACAAGCAGGTTTGCTTGAGAAAAGGGTAAGAACAAGAACCTGTTTGAATTCTAAAGGTACTTACCCTTCTTAGCATGTCATTATTAGAGATTACATCAATTTATCATCAACTCTGACACATTTAAATGTCTGGAGCCTGCTGTTCAAAAAAAAAATCTATACTGTTAACCTTTATTTACTGTAAATGTCTCAGCAAATGAGACAAACTCTTAAATCAAAGTGCAATTAATGGTGAAGACTAGGGTGGGGAGCTACTCAGTGGAAATTTATTGAAGAAAGGTCATGTGGAGAAGATGGTCAAATTCTAACAAGTACCAAAACTGCTGACCTTTTCCAATTTCCCTTACTTTGCCAAGTGGTGTTTTTCCTCCTAAACCAGCTAGCTGTTCATGCTCCCTGCCTCCTGCACTAGACATATACCAATGCCATGCCCACAGCAGGAAAGGACTCATTTCACTCTTCTTATTAAGAAATACCCACAGTGTGTCCCTTGACTTTTAACACGCAAACCCAACCCTGCAGCTCTCACAGATAAGCCTGGACTGATATCCCAGTTTCATCACAGTTAGCTGCATGAACACTGTAGGGTAACACAGGCCACCTCCTCATAACTGCACCAATTCTGAGAGGATTTTTAAAAAGGGAGCAAGGGAGAAGTACCGGTGGCTACTTTGTAAGGAGATTTTAAGACAGTGCTGCTCTCCCTTGCTGCAACACTACCCATGCAGGAGAAATGCATGTTTAATTCTGAAGTTATTGAGGGGAAAAATCAGACCAGCAATGATCAGGACTGATCTCTGTCTTTGTTTGCTTGAGAAAGCTTTTTCCCATGTATCTGAGCTTTCTAAATGTCCAGGCACATTGATAACAACAGGATCACCAAAGCCATGTCAACGTGCTCAGTTTGATGAGATCAAATAAATAAATAAAATCACAAAGCAATGAACTTATCTTTGGGAACGACAGGGTCCCTGGTGATACCAAGTAGTCCTACACACCAGGCACCACTTTGCAGAAGGATGGTTTTGCTCCCAGAGCAACAGAGCGAACTGAATCTAAGCAAAGAAGACCTTGTTCAGTTTTTCCTTTAAGCTTTCCCTTACAGAACCAAGGAACTTTTTGTCAGCCTTCCTCATTTGAGAGAAAAGAAATCCAAACAACTGAAATCAATCCCATCCCCTCAAGGCTCTGGCAGTAGAGCTTGGTTGGTGAGACTGAAGGAACCAACATCCAAACCTGTGCCTGGCAAAGCAGAGCTCAACTGCTGATAGCAGAAGAATGCAAGATATCGGTCAGGATAGTTACTACACAAAGATCTAGAAAAGTGAGCAGAACAGCTGTTCCTGTAAGGCAGTATGACTAAAATCCACTTTCTTTTGTGGAAAATCTTATTCCATCTGCACACAGGCTAAATTTAAGAGACTTTCCAAAAGGCATCGTCACAAGAACTGCCCACAGAAACTCCACACAAGCACACACTGGTTTCTAACACACATTTTTAGAGGTTTATGTCAATTCAACCATACTACAAATTCTGCCCATTAAGACAGATAACAGACTACTTTCAAAAAATGTAAATTGCACGCAACTAACCACTGCAATTAACCGCTATGCGGCACATGCAGCTTGTTAAAGGTGTATAACGTATGTAACGTCTAAAATATTTTCACACTGAAGATGAAAAAAAAATTCACTTATAAGCATTCACAGAAAAGAATGCCTACTGAAACAAACAAACAAACAACCTGATTAGAAAAAATAATGTGCTGGAGCACAGGCTGCCCAAGGAAGTTGTGGATGCCGCATCCCTGAAGGCATTCAAGGCCAGGCTGGATGTGGTTCTCTGGGCAGCCTGATCTAGAGGTGGGCGACCCTGCACACAGCAAGGGGGTTGTAGCTAGACGATCATTGTGGTCCTTTTCAATCCAGGCTATTCCATGATTCTATGATACTCTATACAGATTTTCATCCTAATTTATTAGAAGAAAGCAAATATATGGATGGAATCGGTCACACATAGATCAGCCTGGGGTCTGAAATATTGCTTTATCTGCTCTGGGACTTAAACAAATGTGCATACATATTAATTTTAAATATGGTTACAAAATTTAATTCAGCGTTAAGTAAAGAATATTCCTTAAAAAAAAAAAGGTCTTTCTGGAGGAAAGAGACTTTTTCAATGCAAATGTCTCTACATTGGAGAACTTGAGCTTGCCTTTCATTCAAATAGACAGAAAAAAGTCATAGTATTTTAATACATTTTGAATTGAAATTTATGAGATCACTCTATAAAACAAGATGAAGACACATATATAAGACATAGAAAGAAGTCATTCCTGCAATTAACAAGGGTTTATTTCAAGGCAGTTTCTAAAAAACCTACTCGGAAGCTATTTCCCAGCCAGCTAGATTAACCATACATATTTCTGTGAGACCTAAGCACAGCACAATGACATCCTCTTTTTTTTTTTCTTTTTCAATAAAACCTAGGCAAGCATCAAAACTGAAAGATACTTTTTACTTTTGTCCCTTCATAGATAACTTTATCACCCTCTGCTTCATCTATTTTCTTATGCCACATTTATAACTTTTGAAGCTGAATTTAATGTGTGGCATTTTGATTTTCAAAAGAATTCTGAAAATGCATGCAAGCCATCTGATAAATCATCCAAAGAGCTTCTTCCCAACCCTTCCCTGTAGGGCTGTCATGCATAGTCATCAAGGGAATTACCATTGACTTCATGAAGAAAACAAAGGCAGTAAAAAGGGAGAGCAAAAAAACCAAAACAACCTGTGAGCAGGTAGCACTTTCTTCTACGCATCTGCTCTGAGAAGCATTCCTGCTGCTGTCTTCAGAGGAGTCAGATGGAAATAGGCGTGCTATGATGACTGCCTTTGGCTTGTACTGAATTACGTAATAACCAATGAAGTGACAGTATTGTTGAAATCCACCTTAATTATTTCTGTGAGTAGGTGCTTTTAGGGTCCTGAAATACTTCTCCAAAAGTATACTTCTAGATACCATGTACTGGCATTAAGGGAACACATCAAATAGCAATTACAGTTGTATAACTTTTCCCATAACTCAAACAGTCATACTCATCTAACCATCTGCATGGAATATTTTACCATGTTAATTGCACATACAATTAACTTACTATAGGAATGTATCTTCAAGAAATATTCTAAACTAACAAAAAAGACAAAAACAATACTTTCAAAGTTAAATGACATTTCCTGCAGAAGCTAAGAGAAATATTTGGAGGGATCTCCCAAAGGAACTGCATTGAAGACTTTGAGAAGATCAGTCTCAAGTGTATTTAGAAGAAGGTAAAGAAGCAATTTGTTTGAGGGTTATAGTTAATGTGTGTGCTCAAGCACAAATGAAAAAGAGAGAGAGAATGGCTTTAATATGACCAGCTTAACTAGAAAGAAGAGTAAGCAAATTCCCACAGTTTTAGGCATATGCTTTTGGAACTCGATGGCTTTTGGAAAACTATTTCCACTGCTTTCCTGCTTTTTTTTTTTTTAATCAAAACTCAGAGCTCAGGAAGCTGACCAAATCAGGAGCTATCAGACTGAACTGCCAGCAATACAGTATCATTTTGATCAATCAAATCACCCAAGAAACTGTTTGAACTTGTCTTCAGCAGCCGACAGACCAAAGTGCAAAAATGTCCAAGTGCTCAGAAGCTATTTCCCAGAAAAACATTTCATGTAGAGAAAACCTCTACAGAAGGTTGCAGAACAGAAATAAAGTTTTAGCAGGCTGACAGCAAGTGCACGTGTCAATGTTTATGAATAAACTAAATCAGGAAAGCTGCTGAGAAGCAGCCAACGCTGGGCAGACTGACTGAAGTACAAAAGCAGCCAGTACTACACAAAAATGTATCCATCATGATCAGTTAATAAACTGTTTAATTCAAATGCATAAAATGGTAGAACAGATCAGAAAGATGTCAAGAAAAGGTATCAATATGAGAAATGATGAGGAAAAATTCAAAGGAAGTTAAGACAAATAGAAGACAAAATACGCACGGATGACCTTTAAAAGTTATGGAAAAAAAAATCACCAGGGATCTAAGGAAGAAGTAGTTCAAATGTCAAAGAGAGATGAGCATATGGGAGTCATTTGATAGATATATCTGCTTTGAACATTACGTGTGATTTAAAAGATGAACTGAATGTTGCTTCATGTTCTCCCAGAACATTTTGGTTCAGAAGTCACCTTTTAAGTAGAACTAAAGCTTGTGAAAGTTTACTCTCTGACTTTCAATGCCCTAAAAACAATGGTCTTTCATAGCTTCAAAACTCCTTTCTTCTTAAAAAGTAAAAATCTACCCTGTGATTAGGCTTCGACTCACTAAGGGCTCTCAGTACTTGGTATGTTGCTGCCTGTCCTGATAACAGCTCTGTTGCTCACTGTGCAGACATGCTTCAGGGACAGATAGAAGCTTGGACAAGTCTCAGAATTTCCATTTAACAATGAGATGATGCTAAATGCTACTTAACTGGGATATTTAAAGAATAAATAAATGGGAGAAAGCTGTAGTATCAAGCAATCCATTAACTTACTGGAAGAGAACATCTTTACAGTAACTACAGTCAGATATTATTGAGACCCAATTTCCTTTTGTTAACAGTTTCTTTACACCAACACACTTGAGATGCTTTGCTTCAACTTTGCACCTTACAACTTATGTTAATAAGGATGTGTATTAATGATATCCTGGTGTAAGTCCAGATTCATGGTTTAGCAGAATAATGAGACCAGTACTGGCTTTTCTGCACCAACAGCTGACACCTGCTCAGACACATCCCCTTCCTCCTTTCAGTGCTCCCCAGTATTTAACAACAGTTTATTCACTTCTTACTTACTAAAAGAAATAACATGCCCTTTGAAAAAAAAAAAAAACACATTAAAACAAAATCCTGCACAATTACCATTACAATTAACAAGTAAAATGCAGTAAGTTTACTAACAAGCTTATTCACAAACAGTAGGGAAGACAAGAAACCAAAAACAATTCCTTTCTCCTTTGGTTACAAGTCAGGAAATCTCTCCATCCAGCAAGACATACAAGTTCATGAATAAACATCACTAAACCCAACTAAATTTAGGCTAATAAGCTTAAATTCTTTCCTGATGCATCCTTCTCACAGCAGACTGCACAGAGGTGTCCACTTTAAGTGAAAGCTGGGGCTGAAGGCAGAACACTGTTTAATAGCTCTTTACAAACGAGTTCAAAAAATCCTTCGTTTCAGCAAAACTCATAAAGGCCCAATGACTCCACTGAAGTAAATTTCATATTTAAATGATTTACTACACCAAGGCCAGCATGAACATTGATGAATCATACTCACTCATGTCTTTCAAAGCCGAGGGTTTCTCGGACAGACCATGCGACCTGGTAAGGGGAGGTTTGCTCTGAATCCTCCAACTCCTCTCCACTGTCTTCAGACCAATCCAGCCCTATGGGTATTGAAAACATGAAAGCTGGGTGAAAAGTGGACCTGCCTCCCACAGGTCTCTGAACAACCTGTGGCAGAAAAGACAAACGTGTAGCACAGCTTGCAAGCAAAATTATGTTTGATTAAATATATAATATTCTCAATTAGAATGCAAACTTACATTAGCATCATTATACTGTGCAAACAGCATGCACAGATTTATTTCAAATTTGAGTTTTCCTTTTAAAATTCTTCCTGGACTCTTTATCCACAAGCAGTGAAAGTGAAGACACCAGCTTTCTTACCTACAGAAAATGTTACAGCTTTTCCACCAAGCACATGGAGGTAACATAAGGTAACAATGAAATCACTGCCACAAAGAACTTACAGCCTGGTAACTTCTAAATCTATATGATCTAAATAAACCACTTTCATTTCTGCTTATGTTCTGACCAATGCTCTGTGCCAAAACACCCAGAGAGTGGGAAAACTGCGAGACAGAGCAGCATGGGTAGAGACAGATACACAGCTACACAGGATGCTCTGCTGCTTAGTCTTTGTAATTGCCTGCCAAATGCATATATTAGCAGGAAAACAGAGCCACAAAAAATGTAAATACTTGTGCACTTTTAAAATGGAGCATGCTTTTCCTTAATGATAATACAGTAGGTTCAACTCATTGTATGCATCTGATGGATATGATGGACCCTGTTATTGGTTTCCCTGTGATATGCTCAGGTGGAAAACATTAGCTGGGGCATCTTTTGCAATTTTGCCTCTCTCACCCACATCCAGTAAAATTCTTTCAATCCCTTGCAGCAGGTGGGATAAAAATCCTGCAGCCACATACAAGCCACTGTCACTGATTTTTCATTTCCTCATGCGCTCCTTGAAAGTGGCACAGCAGTTTGGACAGAATTAAAGAACACTTTATTTTTACTGAAAAGAAACTATCTGAGATAGTTCTGAAGTCAGATGCTTTCAGTTTGGGAAAGACCTCAGTACTTGATCACCTACATTCTGAGATACAGGCACATGTCATTTGGAACACAGTCATCAGGAGCCCCTCTATCATTCAGAACTGACATTCCTAACAGAAAGATTAGAAACCCTGTTCTTCAGCACCTTCAGCATCCTGAAAATATTTTCTTGGTTCCTATCTTTTAAGATATGTATATGAACTAAATTAAGACAACTTAATACATTTGAGAAAATGCCAGAATTACACTGTCTTTGTTTTCTACACTCCCCCCTTCCATACAGTAAGGGGAATATAACCTCACCAGGAGATAAAGACTGAGTGCAATGGATACCAAGTAACAAATTACCCAAAGTTTAAAAATAAAGACAGAGTTTGGGTTGTTTTCACTTTCAATGGGCAATGAAGAAACAAAGAGATAAAATCCAACCCAGACTCAGCTGTACTCACACTGAAGACTGCAGCTATACCAACAACCAATTACATGCTGCTAATAGCACGTACACATATAAAACTGAGTTTCTCTCTTTAAGGGTTCTGCACCACCATCTGTAGTGCTACTTCATCAATAAACACAAATCCTAAAATTTTTCAAACTAGTCCTTAATATCAAGGCATATTATGAATAAACAACAACTTCATTTTCCACTCCGACGTGTTTTGTGTGTCAATTCTGTTATTTGCCAAATGTGAAATGTTTCGAGTGCGTACACCATTTTTACATTTTATTTTATTTTAGTATAGCATTTGCTTAACCCTACATTGGTAGGTCCAATCCATTTCCTACTATGCCACTTTTTTTAGGAAACTGTATTTCCTTCAATTCAAACACCATATGAGAAAGTAAAACATGAAACACAGAAAGCGATCTTTCTATGGCATCTTGAAACAGAGGTTATTTGAGTTTGTGACACATGGAAGTGCCTACAGAGCTGCCATTCTTCAGAAGACCTGTGTTATATGTAGGATCATCAAACAACATTTCTGAAGAACAATGTCCTTTAGAGAATGTTATGGGATGCTAATTATCTTTGAACAAATAGTCAAGCTATCCCGTGAGTGCCAAAGGGCAGATCTTAACTGCAAATTAAAAAAAGGTTAATTGAAACAGCAAAAATTACAGATGTTTGCAATTAAGTAAGATGTTCACATAAGTACTTCCAGATTTATTTGAAGTCCTAAAAACAGAATCATCAATGAATGGCATTCCTATTCTAATATCACATACTGACCTCTGTTCCTGTTATTCCTGTCAGTATTTTACTTGTTAGGAAAGCACAGTCTAAAACTAAGCAGAAAAGCAAGGTAATTTTGGAGTATGAGGGACATGTCAAGGAAAGCCAGGTGTACCTGAGTCTGTATTCATCATCAGACAAATTAACCCTAGGTTAGCTGCCTTTTTTGAAGCTTCATAGAGCACTTCTGCTATAGCAGCAAGCTGGTTATTTTTACTTAAATTTTTGCAAGCAATAACTGATTATCACAGTTTCTAGATAATAAGGAAGGAGGAAACTATTTCATACAGATAAGACCCCACCTCTCCAACTACCATTATAAAGTTACTAACATATATACTACTACAGTATATATACAGTAGTATATATACTACTACACAACGATACTCCTCTTTTGCTGAGCCATGTTCTGTATACAACTGGATCCAGTCTAGAAAAACTCCGTTGTTTTCCAACTCTCCCAGCCAAGTCAACCATAAATTTGGATCTACACTGAATGATGGGCCAAATATCCCAACTTTTACTTGCACTTATTTTGTAACCTGCACTTGTCACAGACTAGACTGTCTAGTCTCCAATGGCCCTTTACTAAGCAGGCTGCAAACCTTCTATACAATGCATACGTTGTGAAGCAATGCTTTCTATACCTCAGTTTGATTTCTCAAATGATTAATGGGACACTAACAAGAATGAACAGCTAAAGTGCCACTAACCGTGTGTAACAGATCCAGGCATCCCTCTGCAGAGAATGCGGCTAACAAAAAGACAAAGTCATCACCTAGTGCAGGTTTATTTCATACAGACCACACATGAAAACAGGACAGAGGTAGGAGGACATTCCTCTTTGGTGTTCTGGTTTCAGGATAAGAAAAGAAGAGGCAAGGCATTTATTATCTACCCACCTAGATGTGGAAACAGATCAGTGTCCAGCTGCTGTTTTCGAGTGCACAGTTTCACCAGTCTCTGTAGCCGGCTCATGCAGGACGAGTGCGGAGAAAAGGCTGTGGCTTTCATTAGGACCCGATCAGTCCTTGGAGGGTCCGTGACGGGAGCCCTAGCAGGTGGCAGGAGAGGCAGAGGTCTCTTGTTAGACAACTGCCGGGCTTGTGCTATAGTGTGTGTGGTGGGTGCCACTCCCTGCATTGGTAGGCTGGTGTTCGGAGGTTGAGGTGACTTGCAGACTATGCCCTGCGGTAGCCCTGTTGGCTTTAACAAAGCTGATGAAGGTGGCAGATGGGAGTGCTGCTGCTGCAGAGGCTGCTGCTGCAAAGGTGCAGGGAGGGGGCTAAAGTGCTCTTGGCGAACTTTTAAAATCTCTGTCTCTCTCTGGCGCTGCCGGTTTTGAGCCAACTTGCTCTGCAACTTTTTCCTCACCGTTGCCCCTTTCTTTAGGTCATCATCCTCCTCGTTGAAAGCAAAGGGGTCTTCTAGTTCTGCCTCCAGGTAGTGGAGAGGAAGCCTAGCCCCAGGAGGGGAGAGGGACATCCCGTCCAGTCCATTGGGCATCTTCAAGGCCAGGGTGGGCATCGTCAGACTGAGGGCCATAGTATCCATCTGGTGCCTGACCTTTACCTCCTCTATGGGATCATTCTTTTTCTTCCTCTCCTTTTTCGGTATAAAGCCAAGTACCTGCAGATGGCTGTTGCAGTACCTATGAAAAGTAAAAGCAGCCAGTTCCTAATTCAGTTCTTGCAAGTAAAACCTGAAGAAAACAGACCTCACCAAGTGGAAACCTACACACAACTTGAGAAATCAGATCAAAACACAGGAGATTTTACATAAATCATAAACAACTCCTAACACAACAGATAATTGTGATGTTCCCAACCTATAACAAACTTTTCCAAGTGACAATGTCACTTTCCTATTCACAGGAAACTCTCACAGTATATTCAAAGTATTTACATTCTAGTAGGGTAAATAATCAAAACCCAAAGCAAACAAAATAAGTGGACTGATACATAAAAGAGTAAGAAAGAACTTAAGTGTTGCAGTACGCAGTTGCTGACAACACTTAAGACCTTAACTGATCATACAAAACCATTTCAAAAGCTCCCAGGAAAAATTACTGACTACTTCCTTCATTTGGCTGTTCTTCCCCTGGTATTAGGGCTTTCATCAACACACACATCATTGTTACGAATCCCACTTAGTAGGGAATGGTTTATCATGGGGACAATCTCACTGGAGATACTTTCCAAGATGGGTGAGTATTTGCACTTTATGAAAAAAAAAAAAAAGTTTCACATTTAAGCTCTGTTTTAGTAATTTAACATAAAAAATTTGTAGCCAAAGAATTAGTGGAGTGCTCTTCAAATAAAAATCTAGCGTAAAAGAAATTCTGTGTTTCTGGAAAACACAGTGCCAAGAATATATATATTATAATATACATATATATAATATATTATATATATATATATATATATATATATATATACAGGTTTCAAGTTCTAATATAAAAGAGTTGCAATTTATAGGCGTAGATAGCATACTAAGAAGTAAACAATTAATTTCTGTCTGTTTAAAACAAGCAGGCAATGGAGATATAGGAATCACAATCCTACATTTTCCTGCTCTCATAAAGGCAGGACTTCCTGTCTCTGTGGAATGCCCCAGTTATGAGGCTTCTGTCCTTTGCAGATCCCATCTACAATCGCAGCTTACAGATGAAAACAAAGATACGATAAAAGAGTGATGTCTATGTCATGGTATTTTTGGACAAGATAAGGAAATACCCATGAAAGTATTCTTTAAAGTCTTATCAGTATGATAGAGTAGAACAGAGCATCCTGTAAGGGACATAACCTGAGAAAATTAAGTTTTGTGGAACAAAAAAATAAAAATGAAATGATTGCTGGTCTTTGTGAGGAAAAAAAAAATAACAAAAAAGGCCAAGTCAACCCTGCAATGTTGAATATTTCAGTTTAGCAGCCTTCAATTTGTCACCCTGTCCCTAAAGAAAGCAATATGTGATGTTTTCTCAATGGTCCATAAATGGTATAAATGTAAATGCCTATATTAACAATCTGCATATAGGTAATGCCTTGAAGGGTCCACACCCGTAAGGATTTTACAAATCAAAAAAGGCTGAAAAGCATTGCTACATATTACTGTCTAAATAATTTTCTCATTACATTAAGTCAAAAGTAATAAATAAATGAGACAAGCTTAAGTCCTTATTGGAACAGACTACAATTCTGTAAATTCATACTGAGAGATGCACTTCCAAAAATTAAATTCTATAATGAGGGCTCAGCAAAGCTTCCCTTAAAGTCAATAGCATTATTCGTGTAATTAAAATTAAGCACTTTCTTAGCATTTTGTTTGAACAAGACTGAGATCAGTTAGGACAGCACTTTCAGTATGACAGAATAAAAACCACAAACAGACAAGACAAACACAATGGGTTTTTTTTCCCTTAATACCATAAAAATGAGAGCTTTGCTCAGTTTGAATGCTTCCCTTTTACTGTTCAGAACTTATATTGCCACCTTGTGCTTGTGCAGGAGCAAGGAGGTGAAACTGGAAAGGAAAGAGAAAGCCAAATATAGAAACTGGAAAGGAAAGAGAAAGCCAAATATAGAAAAAGTAAATAAACCTATGGAAAGGTAGTAGGCTTCTCTCTGAGTTTTAGGCTGCTAAGTGTTTTGCATGTTTAACTCTCCTCTCTGTTTTACACAACAGAGAATAAAACTGCGATTCTTACAACTGACCATGCTTCATCAGCAAAAGCCAGCAGTATCTTACACAGACATCTCCTCTGACACAAACCTACAGCTGACAAGCTACATCAGTATGGGCCAGTCTGAGACAGGGCCAGCTATCAAGCTGTTCTGGAGCCTGCAGGGAGGGAAGTCCATACTGCAGAGCCAGGAGCAGGCGGTAAGTGGCTCTGCTGGAACCAACCAAGGGCCAGCCAAGCTGAGCAGGAGGTTTTTCAGATCGGAGACAAGGCCAGGGAAGCAGATCATGCTCCACAGAGGCAGGCTACTAGGAGGACAGGCACCTGGAAGCAGCACCGTGCCTTTTGCATGGCCCTGAGCATGATGCCAGGAGTGCCAAGCTGGCCCTGCACGCAGCCAGTGCTGGAGTGTCTGTCTCGTGGCACAGCTTGTCATTTCCAAAACCTTGTGAGTTATTCTCAGCTTCCAGTATCACGCTGAGTACCTAATCTAGTTTCTTTCCCCTTCCTTATTCAGCACTAAAGGCACTTATTCTGCTGCAGGTGAGGACAAATGCAGTCAACATGCACAGTAAGAGCAGCGGGTTGATATCTATTAAAGCTACCACAACACACAGCTCAGAAAGGTGACAGGCTGTGCAGGCTTTAGGCATCTTCCCACATCATGGGAAAGGCAGGAACACAGAAAGCCAGGTTTTCTACCTACAGCTGCATCCTGCTTCCCAGTACCTCCCAGGTTTCTATTGGGTTTAGTCACTTATTTAAAGGAATAACTAACTAAACTGGAGAGTTGCTTGCACATTATTTACAGATTTGTGAAAGAAGAAAATTAAGAGATAAAATGGTGTTTAAGCAAGCCACATTGTAAAAAATCTACACTTTCAAAACTGAGCATCACAATCTGTGTGTGTATTTGGACAACAAAGAATGAGGAGACATATTCAGGAAGAACTACAGGTGCACTGCCCACGTCTGACCATCCAGTGTATTTCTTTAAAAAAAACGAGATAAGAGGAGAAATTAGACTTCAATTAAGGTAATGAAGTCATGCGCTATTAATAGCTTTAATTTGAGAAACATTAATGGTTAATAAGAAATTAAATGATATAACAGCATATTAAACATCTTTGTGGCTGATGCCAACTCATTTGTCAGGGGTTAAGGGATAATTATTTTTAATTATCTGTGGACAGACTAGGAGGTTTTGGCATATAATGCATGCAACCTGTTAAGACATTCCATCTTTTATAATCTTTAAGAATATATAAGAACGTAGCTGTGACAGTATCACACAGCCTGCTTCTGATCCCAAACGTGTCTCAAACTGACAAAATGACCATCTGACAGTCATTTTGTAAACAGAAAATTAAAAGCTACGAGCAGAGAACTCAGACATAGCAAACATCTTTATACTGAGTGGAGTGTGAAAGAAGTCTCTTAAGACACAGATACAGGTTTGCCTGCCAAAAAAAACTGTTTTGAGCAGGCACAGTTTTATCACTAGCATTCATCAAATCTCATTGTTAAAACTAAGCTCCGCCCTGAGAAGCAGCCTTTTAAAATATTCTTCCCAGCGATCACACCCTCTCATTTGAAATTAAAAGTTTATTTTCCCCTTCAGACACCTGCTGTCCTCTTCAAGCACTGTAATGTGACACTCGACATGCAGTCGAATAATTCTAATATAACATACACCAGATGTCATGACCACACTTCACTTTAACTTGAGAAAAATCAAAAAGAACAAAGTGTGAACTCAATTCAAGGTGTAAAGAAAAATCTCAAATTCCACGGGAACATATGAGACCTAAGAAGTGTCATTAAGTAGTATTATTTCCATTGTTTTTGAGTGCAACCCTGTTAAACAGCGACTCGGGCTCAGTCGGCTCTTCCATCTGAAATTACAGCGTATCATTTGCTCAAACAATTTCCATGATCATTTTTGTGAGCTTATTTCAAAGAGCCTCAATGTTACAGGAGCAAAGAAAGAGTCACCGACTGTCAAACTGCAGCTTAAAGTTATTCATCTTGTGCCATTTGAGCATTTGCCCTACAGCTTTTGACAAACATTCGTGTTGTTTTCTCACTTCATCAGTCTCCTCGAGTGAAATGGCAGGTGAAGTGCAAGTTAATTTAGAGCACAGTCCAACTGTTGTTTCAGACAAGAGAGGGAGCTGTGAGCCGAGGAGGAAGTTATATGTAGGGCACAGTGGGAACACTGCTAATAATGCAAAAGGTTAGTGAATGGTAGCTAATAATGTGAAAGGTCAGTGAAGAGTGGTTTGATTCTTTTTTGGCATATTTTGTTTATATTTTACTTTAAAAAAAAAATTATTTCTAACAGAATAAGCCCCAGGTAGTTAACACACACATTAATTAAATACTGTTGTACTGGCAAAACCTGCAGCAATGAGTGAAAAATTAAAATCGCATACACCTTACAGACAGGATCAGACAAATTCTGCTATTTCACCCCAAGCAGCACAAGTGAGACGTGCGTTCAAAAAGTCTTCAAGAGCAAGGAAAAATGCCCTTGTGGTTACAGTATGAGCTGCAATTCAGGAAGCCTGGTTTGAATTCCCAGCTCTCCAACAACTGCAAGCACTATCTCTTCCAAGCCATTTCATATTGGGCACCTCAGGCATCTTCATTTGGGCAGGGATGGGGAGAGAAAAGGAAGAAGTAGAGAAGAAAGTGAGCAAACAGCACTTTTCTAGCCAACTGATCTGCTACCAAGTAATACGTGCTTTATTCCAGTAATACACTACCACAGATCAGCAGTCAAGCAAGAACACAGAGCTGCAACTCTGCATTTGCCCCTATGCATCACTGCTCCCTAAGCCCAGAAGGCATGCGTTTTCAGTTGTTTGTCCTGAAAAAGTAGACAGAAGCATGCTTTTGCCACAGTTGGCCAAATAAGCAGGGCCCTTTAAGAGCACAGACTATGAGTGACAAAGCAAGCAAATCAGAACAGCAGATACTGCATAGCAAATTTTATCCGCACTTTATAGTGAATTTGAGCAAAGCAACAAACCCTCCTGAAAACTTCCTTGGGAGCAAGTTACTGCTCTCTTTGAATACTTGACTCCCAAAGAAAACAAAATAAAGTTTACTGGTCTTATAACAAAACCCTCGAAGAAACATCCTGGAATTCAATTCACCCAAGCCAGTTCCTCCCTCATCCTGAAACCAGGCAGCATCTTAAAAAGAAACTCATGCCTACATCCCAGCCAGCTCCCGCGTCGCAGGTGGGCAACCACAACTCACCTACGGTCCTCAGATTTGGGGATGGGGTTGGTGCAGCGTTGGCTGTTATACTTGGCCACATATTCACATTGCTTGAAGGGGGCAGTCTTGTCCTCCAGAACGTGTCTGATACAGAAGGCGTAGCCGTTAAGTCGCCTCTGCTTGCACAGTTTGGGGCTATACGAGCACAAGGGCTTATTGTCAACCTCAGAGAAGTGTATGTGTTTGCCTTCATACATCACGTGACTCTATTCCTTGTGAACATCAGCTGAAAGAGCCAAAATATTAAGATAAATCACATCAGGAAAAAAAAAATGCATTCAGTTCTAGATTGTGTATTTCAGTTTGATGCTAAAGAGAGACCCAAAACAATACCTGATTTTAAATCTTCTGTACCATATCAGTGTTAAGAGAGAGCCCCAAGGACACCACTATCCTGGAATGATGATGAATCAAGATGATGTGGATTGTCTAAGGAAAACATCAAAAAGGTCAAGGTCAGTCAGAATAAAATAGATAGGATCATACTGCTTAATAAGTGGCCAGATGTGGCCACTTAACCTGTGGTTCAGCTGGCATCCAATAAGCCAAACCCACCAGCACAACAGCTTCCAACAAGCAGCCACAAAGCTCTGGAAACCATAAAAGGAAAAAATGTTGACTGTCACCACGTTCAAACCTGCTAAACAGAACTCCACTTGTATACCACAAAATGATCAGGGGCTACAAGTCGAAAAAGGTTAAGCAACAAATCAGATCTCCTGCTGTCAGGAATCAAGCTGAAAGCTGATGTGACATTAACTCATTTGATTGCAGAAAGGTTCTCCTTCAAGAATCTTTACTTAAAAAAATGCTGGGGACTATCCTCACTCTAACAAATATTAATTTTCACAGGGAGCATCGGAAAGCCTTTTATCTTTGTAAGATGTCTTTATCACACCTGGTAAACAGACTGATGATCTTGTAGCTGCCTACACCTTTTGTAAGCAAAAGTTTCAGGTGAGTGCTGACATTAACGATGCCAGAGACTGTACTCCCAATGACCCCAAGAGGGCTGAAATGCCATTTCAGCAAAGCCCATCTTCTTCCCCACTCCCACAAACAGAATCCAACAGTGCTGCAAAATAACAAAGCCATGAATCTTCCAATACTTTTTCATCTCCAACCACTATGAAGTCTTTAGCAATCATTCTTCTTAAAACTCACATGTACAAAACCAAAGCTGCATCAAGAAAACACTAACAGTGCACACAACCTGCAGCTCCCTGCTGCGCTCAGCTCAACCTGCCGAAAGCCACTGGTGCTTGGGCAGGCCATCCCAAACCACAGAGTGCATTTGCAGTGTACTCAGTACTCAGTTTCAGGAGCTTCATACACCAAGCAAAGGAACGCACATAGAGGTGAGAGATGTGTGACAACTGCAGAGATTACCAACTCAACCAACTTACTTTGAGCGTGCCACATGGCAAGGAAAAGATGGCAAAGGAGGGAGGGGAGGCTCCAGTCTCTGCAAGGAAGATACTTCTTCCCTAGGGAAGCGGTCTCTCCCCGCTAAAGAAAAGCACCTTGACAGAAAGGACTCTCCTACGTTTTCTCTCCATGCACAGTCCCCTTTCCAGGCACACAGACCAGCAGCACTCTGGAGGCAGCCCTGACACTTTGCTTACAAACAGTGAGAGCATGAGCACAGACACCAAATCCACTTCCCTCTGCCTTCCCCTCAGTGAAGGGCAGCACAGGAAGGTGCACACTCCATATATCCAAAACTGATGGCTGAAGCGTGAGCCTTTGCAACGCATTCATCCTCAAAGCAACAATGTGAAAAGAAAGGAAATCCCATGGTGCTGTGCTTAAGTAGTAGCAAGGTGACCTAGGTGCAAGTCCCATGTGCTCGACAGACAGCCTCCTGCATTACCGGGGTAGCAAAAGTAATGAAACGAGTCTAAACAAATTGCATCTCTTACACTGAATGAAGCTGACAAAGTCTTTTGCCCCAGAGTTTGCTGCTCTCCACAGTGAACCAAAGCTTGCCCTGGTGACAGTCTGCGCAAGATGAAGGACTGGACAGAGCACGTCCATCTTGCAAAGATGGGGGGGACCCTCATGCTGCTATTTCTTTCTGCCATGTTTACCACCACCTCTTAAGCTGCTGCTATCATGCTCTGCAGAGTTTCTTACTGACCGGTGACCTCCTTTTCCTTTGCACAATGCAGCCACATTTCTTGTCTGAAGGTTATCAAGCAGCAGAGCAAAGAGAGCTTTTCAGAGCAGTTCCAAAGTAAACAACACAAAACACGTATCTGGGTTCCTCGGTTAAGTTTTGGGGAGGAAAATGCTCTGCAGTTCCCAGCCACTGTAATCTTGGATTTATTCCTGTGCCCCATCTTATTTTTGGACTTAACTCATAATTAAGTCTTATTTTTGCACTTATATCTGTAACGTGACCACGTTGAGGCAGGCACAGCATTTTCCATCTCACTTGTCTGAAAGACACAGCCCACAAGCACCATGCCGTATGAAGCACTGAAGCTGGGACAGCAGCAATAATCCTCAGGGAAACCCTTGAGCTCATACATGTATTTTGGGGTCTATATATACACTAAGAAAAGCTCACAGAAATGTAACCAAATTCAAAATCCTCCTAGGGACTGATCAGTGCAACTACAGTGTAATGAAAGAAAAAAAAGCTAATGCACCCAGCAGCCAGTGTTACACGGGGAAATTACAGCAACCCTTGCAAACCACGTGAGACAATACACGTCTGATGGGCAGACTGCTACACAGACCCTGGAAAGGCAGCAGTGCTGCATGGATATGCTGACAGACTCAACTCACACCAAGCCTACAAGGAACCTTTTCTTTTTGTTCTCTGCCACATACAGGTGCTCAACAAGCACAGACACACAGACTGAGGGCTGTGGTTAGTGGGCATGGTGGGGTAAGCCAGGGTTGGACCAAGATGATCTTAGAGGTCTTTTCCATCCTTAGCAGTTCTATATATAAAACAAAGACTCCTTAATTTATCGATTCTGATTTCATCTGTTGTAGTGCTTTCTTTGAAGCAACATCGGAGTTGTTAGCAGAGCGTTTTGCTGCGACACAGAAAGTAGCACAGGCGCAGCACAGGCACATGTCACTTAACTGAAGAGAACTGAAACTACGCTTAGCAAAACGGTGGGTGGGGAGAAAATATTTTTGTCCCACAGGATTCAGCAGAGATGACGGAAACATGGACTTCCCGTGGAAAATGAAATGCTCAAGCAGCTGGACCTTGCTGCACAACTATCAGGGTGCAAACCCTTCTGGAAGTTGTTTTGGGGTCCGCAATTATACTCCACATTGCAGCTGCAGAGAGGTTCAAAACAAACTCAATTTAAGCCAGCATGTCTTTAGACTGGCTCTAGCCACAACCCACAAATGAGAAACCGGAGGCTAGTATTGGAGAAACCCACATTTTCCTTAAACAACTGCTTCTAAGCACAACATTTTCAGAGTAAGAACAGAAGAACTCAGAAATCTGTCATTGCTAAATGACATAGGATATGACCAAGGTTTTAAACATCCTAATGGCAGGGCATAAGTGACTACAGAATGGTCAAGTGACAAGTCACACAATGTTAGAACTAGGGGTGCCTGGGGAAGTTAGCATGAGATTGACTCAAAACACAGGAAAGAAGTACTTCTCTATTGCTGCTGCTCACAGGTAGTGAGCCATTGGAACTCACTGTCACAGAGGCTGCTGGAGCAGGCAGCATCATCGAGTTCTGAAGGCAACAGAAAAGTTTATAGAGAGTGTGACCACTGACACTAAAAGTGGGCAGTGATGTACCTGCTAGCACACCCAACTTAATAAACAGAGATGCTGGAGGAACAAAAGAAGAAAACATTTAAAAGAAGTTGGGTTTTCATATTCTGCCCCAACTGCATCAGTTGCTCCCACCGTCCAAGACAGAACTGCAGGTTGGATCAATCCCTGAGCTTAACCAGGTGGGTCTTCCTACGTTCTTACAAGCTTGCCACTAACATCTGTCATTTGGTAAGATATTCATGTCTTACACCTGAGCAGATGACTGGAAGAAAATCTCCTCCTTCTGGTAAAAGCGCTGTCCAGGCATGCAAAGGGCAACAAACTGTGTGTCCCAGCAAGGCCTTCACATGAGGACAGGCAGGGCGCACAGCAAAGCCACACTGTGCCTAACATGTAGTTTGCAAAGTGGCTATGAAAAGACAAATGAGACTTAAATATACACATGCACACACCTGCACAGCTGCCAGTGCCTGCTGCCAGGCATAGGAGGGAGCCAGCTCCCAGCCACTGTCAGTGCTCTCAAGCAGGCAAAACGGACTCCCTCACAGCGCACGCGGGCTCCAAGACAGCATTACCTCTTCCAATAGAGTTAAACGTTCCTTCAGAGAAGGCAGAAAACACCGCCACAGCCAGTCTTGGGGAAATCTCTGCGAGATCGCACTGAGTACCAGCGTTGTGTCATACAGAAATTGGTACCCGGCATCGCCTGTGTTCTACAGAGAAGTTAATGGCCTGGCCACTATTACTGGAGCCAAAGTACTGCAGCCCCAAATCCAATCAGTCAACCCTGAGAAAACACCACACAGAAAACATCAGAACGTTTCAAACCATGGGGGTTAGGCCCACCGTCAAATGTATGCTCAGAGTTTGACATTCAACCTAAGTGAGACCAAATTTAGGCAACGGAATCCCCAAATGCATTGTAAATTGCAAAGAAATTATTATATGTCAGCAGTTAAAAGATGTATAATTAAGAGGACTGAGCTCAGAGGTTCACACATTGCATATGAATAAGATCTTTTTAATTGTGACTTTTAACTGTGTTCTTTGAATTCTTAATACCAGCACAGACTTCATGCTGTATAGTTTGGTGTGTTCACACCATCTCACAACAAGGTGCAATCGCCTACACGTGCCCAAAACCATCACCTTGGGGCCAGAAAGTAGAACTCTGATCTCCACAAACCTCAGATTTTCCACAAGCAGCATCAATAGCAGTTCTGCTGATTCCTTGATTTGACCAAGAGAGAAAAATTCCCTGTGCTCCCACCGCCTGATCCTTTTTGCTGAGACTGACAATAAACACGTGGATCTGAACATGCTTTTGGCAACCTGGAATTTAATCCACTCAAAGTGGAACAGAAGCCATAAGAGTCATTACAAAATGACACACATTTAAAACTACCTTACCATAAAATTGTCCAGTCAGTACTAATAAAACCTGCATTATTAGAAAGAAGGCTGCCCCCTCCTTGGAAGCACTGAAGTCCAGGCTGGATGGGGCTTTGAGCAACATGGTCTAGTGGGAGGTGTCCCTGCCTATAGCAGGGGGTTGGAACTAGGTGATCTTAAGGGCCCCTTCCAACCCAAACCATTCTGGGACTCTGACTCCTTTTCTTCCCATTTCATATCTAGAGACAAGTATCTCTCTGAGAAGTACTCTGTTTTATCAAAAGAAGCTGTACCACATCTAATTGTGGTCACCATCGACACCACAGAGTTGCAGCTTCTGTCCCTGTTCTATGATTTAACCGCAATTTTGGCTTACTTCTCAACGTAATGATGACGTCACACCAAACCAAGCCTGCTTCAAACCCAGAAAGAGTCCTGTCGTAAAAGCACCCAATTCAAGACAGAATACTGGGAGGTAACCAAGGTAAATAAAGTCAGCTACAGGAGTTCTCACTGGGAACAACTCTACTAACCAGTGCACAGTCTTAGCTCAAGAAGACCTGTGAAGAGCCCACACAAGTGACGAAGGCACTGCACACACATGCAAGAACTGGGACGAATCTACCCCCAAGATGCGGGCACTGAGCATGCGAGATCTTACTGCACACTTTTACTTCCCTGGAATCACATTTTGAACTAGTTCTCACATGTGGAAATCTACCTAGGAAGACAGAAGCAGCAACATTGTCCTCATTCTGCCTTCTTAGAAGGCTCATTACTTCAACTCTGCAAAAAGGCCATATATATTGCATAAAGGTGTGCAACATATTAACAAGAAAGCAACTGCATGTTTTAAGCAACACTGATAACATGAATTACTCTTCATGATACAACAGACTAAATACCATAACTAAATTTGAGTATTACTGCTAATAATAACTGAATAACATACAGGCTTGTGAGAAGTTCCAGTCAACAACAGAAAAAGTAACTAAGGAGAGAGGAAAAAATACTTTATGTTCAAAACTGTGCAAGTTGCTGATTTTGTTTTCCTACACAAAATAAACTTCAGCAGGAATGGTAGAAACTTGGGTTTCAAGGAGAAAAGATGGTCAGTAGTAACATTTGTTACTGAAATTTGTAGCCAAGAGCACATTCCTATAAATTTCAGTGTAACATTTCCTCAACATGGCTATTCCTCCTCTGAGGCTCCAGACTGGTTCTCTATCTCAGAAGCCTTTTGAACAAGGATTGCTCTATCTGACCCAGTCCAAGGCCCCCGTCCTGCAATCACATCCACACAACACGATCCTCATGCTTGCACAGAAGCACACTTATTTCAACATGGCTATAAACAAGCCCAGGGATTGCCAGGGCCACAGGCTGCAGAAAGAAGGTCTTCAGACACAGCAATAAATGGGACATTTAAGGAATTGCAACATCACAAAAATGCAAACTAAAATGATATCTCAAAATATCTAAACCATGATCCAGAGAGAAAGCACAGACTCAAATATAACACAATGTACCTAACATCTGTACTTGAGTTTTCAAAAAATAAAAATTAAAAAAAAAGAAGAAAAAACTAAGTCCAAGTCTTTTATTCATCAAAGTAGGAGCTAACCTGCACCTGCGTACGAAGTTAAATAAAACACTTCTGCCTTATTTTTAGTCCCGGTGGTGCATAGACAAACAACCTTATTTTCACACAATACAGGAACATCGTTCTTGCTTTAGTAGGAATACTCAGTAAGTAAAATAAAGCAGCAGAGCGCCTCACAGAGCCGCCTTTTAGCAGTTATAAGCAATCAAAGTTTCTATGTTGCATTACAATAAATTTCTGCTTCCTGAGGATCTGCCATACCGCGAGAGCATGGTAGTACATGCAACTCTGTAGGACCAAGCCCTACATACAGCTCATTCATTCATCGTGAAAGTACTCAAACATCAAAATTACACCTACTAAGTAAATTTGGGGTGGCTTCTATAGGCAATTTAGCTTTACAATTAATAAAATCTGTCTTATGCATGTATATAATACAAACAAATCACATACAAGGCTGAAGATGGTTGCAACAATATCACTAGGCGGCAAGTGACAGCTACACGGCAACACTGGCGCTGGGGTTTACCCATCCACAGCAGTACCCGGTTGGTACGATCTGAGAGTGAAACTGCTGGCACAAACAGTGCCCAGAGGACACAGGACACTCAGCAGGAAGGGAACGACGCGCTGTCCTAAATTTGCCACTTTTAACTATACCAATCCTCAAAAATTGAGAGCAGTTTAAAATAAACCCTCATATGTTGTTAAGTAACGAAGTTAGAACTAACTATAGATCTACATATTTTAATCAGATGGTGTAATACAAAGCTGTAAATTGTTGCTGTCATTCTCAAAACATATTCAAGGTTACTTGTACAAAGCAATTAGCCTTCTGAGCTAAAAGGCATTTTAAGGAACATTTGAACAAAAGTATGCATCTCCAGCATGAGAAACCTGACCTGGTTCACCTGTGCAGGGTGAAGCGCATTGGTTGGCTCTCCAGTGGGCTCACTTCACAACTACAGATGTTCACTTCCCTGGAAAAAAGCATCCTTTTATTTCCCACTCCCAGCAGCAGTACCTCAGGGGCAACCGATGCCCCTCACTTGTCCCACTGCAGCCCACACCATGCCTGTCTCCACAGCTGGGGATGCGGGACAGGGCCGGAGACTGTGTTCGAACCCCCAGTTGGAATGGGGCCTCGAGGGGGGTCCCCTTCCCCGGCTGCAGGGTCAGGGCCACCACCCCAGCTCAGCGGTGCCAACCGGCCCCGAGCAGGGCTGGGGGCTCGGGGGAACGGCAGGCACCGCGGCCAGCCCAGGTGCGTGGCACGGCACAAGGGGGGGCCTTTGCCCCCCGCCCAGACCCCCGGTTTTGGGGTAGGCCCGCCACGCGGGGGCAGCTTACGGGGAGCTCTACCGGCCTTCCCGCCAACCTCCAGAAGAAACCCCCCGTTTCCACCCAAAAAGTTGGGAGGCGAAATAACCCGAGCGAGCAGACAAGGGCCGGAATGAGTGGGGGTGCAGCCGCGGAAAAGATCGGGGGTCAGGGGGGAGAGACCGCGGCCGTATCTCGGGCGCCCCCGCCCCATCCCCGGGGCCGCCGAGGCGGGGCGGACAGCGGCAAAGAGTGGGGCGAGCGCCCTAAAAAACGCCGCGAAACTTTCCAGGCCGCGGTCCCGCGCGCCCCGCGGGACCGGCACCGCCTCCGCCGCGGCGGCCCCGGACCGGGCCGGGGGAAGGGGCGCCCCCACCCCCCGCACCGCTCGTTACAAGTCATTTCGGGAAATTAATGCCGCCCCCGGCACCCCCGGTCCGCGTTCCCCCCCCACCCCCCCCCCCGCCCCGCCCCGGGGGGGGGGGGGGAGGGGGCCCCCCCGCCCCCCCCCCCCGCCCCGCCGCCTTCCCCCTGCCCGCGAGGCTCCGGCTCCGGCGGGGCTCGGCCCGCTGTGGGCCCGGGGCCCGGCGCGGGGGGCCCGGTGGGGCGGGGAGCAGAGCTGGCAGGCCGCGCCGCGCTGAGGCCTAGCGCCCCCCCGCCCCCGTTCTCCCCCACCGCCCTTCACCTCCCGGGCAAAGGCTCCGCAGCGCCGCGCCCCGACCCTCCCGCTGAGCCCCGGCGACCGTCTCACCCCCCTTCGGGGCTCCTCTCGGCGCCCGAAAGCCGCGAAACCCCGCCGGCTCCCCTCACCCCCCGCCGCGGCCTACGCCGCCCCGGCCGATCCCCGGCCTCGCGTAGCCCGCCTCTCCGCCCGCCCTGCTCCCTTCGCGCCGCCTGCCGCGCTACGCGAGCCCGGGGATGCAGGCCGGGCCTGGCTTACCTTTCCAGCCGCTTTTTTTTTCTCCTCTCTCTCCTCTCCCCCCTTTCCCTCTGTTGGGCTGACAGATCAGAGTTTCCTCCCCGGTAGAGGGACTAGGAATGGGCTCGGGCTCTGTGCTGAGGAGCTGCTGCCCCCCTGGCTCTGAGGAGATCCTGCTTTTTGTGGGGAGGAAGCTTTGGGGGCTCTTTATTATTTTAAAACTACAAAGTGCTCAGAGGGTAGGTGATTATTAAGGGGAATCCCTGAATATATTCTCCAGCAAAGAAGGCAGGGCTGCTGGGGCTGCTCAAGAAGAGAGCCGGCAGCCTCCTACAGCACCACTACAGGCACCGAGAGGACATAACATCACAGAGCGGCTCCTCTGCCCTCCAAAACAACAACTTTCCTACCATCTTGGAGGTAGTAGAGGGAGAGAGGGAGGGGGAAAAAAGTACAGAAGGTTTTTATAAAGTGTCGATTTGGGGGAGGGAGCCGAATGGACAAAAGCAATTTTTTTTTATTCGTGTATCTGACTTATTATTTTAAATAAAAATAAAATACAAAGGTATGCGACTGAAGAAAAAAAATTATTTATATCAAGTTAAGATCAGTTTTCTGGGAGGAAAAAAAAAAAAAGAGGAGGTATGAAAAAAATGTATTTGGAATTTTTTTTTCTTTAAAAAAATAAGATTTTTTTTTAAATAAGAATTTTTTAGAAACGTGGCAACTTTTTATTGTTTTGTAATAGTTCTAAAAATTAATGTGCAATTGTGAAAGTCAGCGTAACTTTTTCTGATGCTGCTACTGCTAGTAGAGCAACTACGATTGATGCAGAATAGTTTGGCAGAACTGTATCATTACATCCTCTCTCTGAAGGCATTGTAAGTAAAACTGAATGTACAGGTAAGAAAAGAAAAGATTTTTTTAAAATTTATATATATATAAATATTAATGTATCTATGTAGTAGGAAGGCTTATAGAAAAGCCATGGGAGATTTAATGTGAGTGGAACCTATGGTAGATACCTGAAAAATTCTGCTAATCTGTCATAAATTCAGCACTGTCCCTCCCTCAGGAGGGGTTGTGAAAAATAAAGCTCATAGAGGAAATCTGGAGGTAACAGTTAAGTTTTTCTTAATATTTTCAAAGCATATTGCAACTTCTGAAAAATCTGTTTGTGTTCTTCCTAAGTTGGTGTTTTCATTTGGGGGCTTTGTTTCTGATGTTTATGAATACAATTATTCCTGATTCTTGCTTGCAAAGTTGAGAAATGCTGTTAACTTATGCTACAGTACCCTGTAACACAGGATGGTAATTGTGTTTTTCCTTCTTTCAGATGCTTTTATGAGATTGTTAAACATAGATAAAATGTTGTCGAAACGATGTGAGATTTTACCGTGTCCATAGGTGAGGACGCTGATCATTGCATTGAGCAGACCTACCGTAATGTTTGCAGTAAGGTTAAATGCAGCCCAGCACAGGGAACTGCAGAAATGCTTATTTATTCCTCCTGGAGAAAGAGGAAATAATTAGGAAACTAATCAGCTATACATGGAAAAATACGTTTACATTTTTTTTGTTGTAAAAAATTATTCAGGTGGTGTAGCTAATTGAGCTGCAATCAGACTGAAGTCATATGAATGAGGGTATTGGGTTGTTTAGTGTGTTACTGCACCCTCCCTCTCCTCTGCCAAATCTGGAATACGTTGAGTCTTACCTCTCTTACTGTAATTTTTTACTTAAATGTATGTTTTCTAAATACAGGTATATTCCTTCATTCCCTTCTGAAAATACACTCTGTCAGTAGCCTGGCGAGCATAGTTTGTATGTTCATCATGGCTTTTTCATGTAGATAAATTAGTTTGAATTAAAGTTTAATTAAAAGTCAGTTGGTCTTTGCGTCAAACTGCGTATTTTTTGTTTGGCTGGATTTTTTTTAAATGATGGTTATTCTAATTAGCATGCTTTAACAATGCAGCGTTGCTTTCCGTGGAGTTACTGCAAAGGTGTTTTTTGTATCAGATTATTAATCCATTAAGTGTATTATTCAGCTCTGACATTAGGAAAATAATAATAATAATAAAATGCATTGCTCCTGTTTCACATTTGGAAAAATTGTATAAAAGTAATGGCATAATTAGGGTACTTTGTAATCTTACCAGTTATTATTGTGTCATTTGAAGCATGAAATATAATGATTATTTTGCAGGATATTTAAATAAAAATACTTTTATATTCTGCATCTAAAACTCATGGCAGGAATGACAGCGATTACAAATGTTGATCATAATTGGGATGATTTAAAAAAAAAAAAAAGCACTTTTTGAAATATTACGAATAAATGCTCTGCTGTGGCAATGGATTCAGAACTGAAACAGATGCAGAACAAGCTAATATTTCCTGTTAGCCTAGATAAGTAATGGACCAAATTCTCAGACCAGTTTTCAGATGCTTGCAGGCCTGGTTAATAATTCAGGGGTGTTTGAGAAATTGCTCCATACTCACTTGCAAAAAACTCCAAAGTTGTCAGAGTTTTGCTGTAATGCAGTATGTAAGTCCCTACACCAGGTGATTTCTTGTCTCTATGTGTACAAGAATTGCCACTTACAACTGGAAGTCAGTAGGTTAGTGTGATTCAAATGTAATTCAGGTTATTTCTTTTCATCGCACTACTGAAAAATTGTTGTAGAGAGGGAGGCGTAATGCCAACAGCTGATCTGCACAAGTCTGTCTGTGGGGCTCTTGAGAATATCCATGCAGCAAGATGAGGGGTGTCATAGCGCTTTTAGAAATGGGATGCAGATGATACAACTTGTTAGAGAAAAGGCTGTGAAAGAAAGCACTTGAGAAGCCAAGTACAGAAACAATGCTAAACCCTTTCTTTGGCTTATGTGCTTGACTTCGCAGATACTGACTTTAATCGGATTACTTGCATGCCTAATGGTACCAAGGAAGGGGGTTTAGTGGGCAGTGCTGGGAGGCTGCACGATCTTAGAGGTCTTTTTCAGCCTTTATGATTCTATGATTAAACATGTATCACAGCAGCATGAGAAGTTTTGGTGACATCCTGAGATCAGTTTGACCTGCAAAACTAGAAGCTAAAGAGAAACGTTTTGAATCTGGTTTGGAATAGGAAAAGTGCAAAGTGGCTTTTTTTTTTTTTTAATATATATAAGCAATACTTTGTTAGAAAATAAAGTGGGAAAATTAGTTGCATCTTAGAAATGTGGACTGCCGGCTGTTGTGTAATCATTCAACAGAGAAATGAAAATCTCCATTATGTGGACAGGGGAATTTATTTAACAACACTTTGTATGTCTGAAAGGATTCAAAACACTTTCTTTTTAGTTATTTACTAAAAATTGCCTATATTGTTTTGCTCACAATAAAGTGTTACGCTGTAACATTTCTAAGGAGCAAATTCTGCTAGTATTAGTCATGCAGAGTTTATAGTGTGTATATATATGTTACACAGTTATGGATCAGACTCATAGCTTGGGAGTCACATCATTTTGATAAGAGTGGAGCTGTGCTCTGAAGTGATTTTTGAGGAAAAATTCAATAGCTATGACTCCTGCACAAGGAAGGTGTGAGCCCACAGCAAGAAAGCACCCCTGTGCAGAATGCAGATGGGAATTCTGTCCCTTCCATTTCCTTGTTACAGAATAGGCCTGCGTGGCCAAAACCCTGGACTAACCACTCCAGCCAGTGTGTTGTATGCTTGAGCACAGAGTAGTCAAAGAAAATTAATGTTCCCTAAATCACCACTTCCAAGTTAATGAGGCATACTTCGCTGATGCATCTCGCTGGTATTAAAAGCGAGACAGAGGGCAGCAACACAGTGAATAAGCTTTGTGAGTCTAATAAAAGAACTGAAATAGATGCTTTTGGTTATACACCAGTTACTGGAGGAGACTGCTTCAAAAAGCAAATTGTGACTCTCCCAAGGTCACATGGATTCCAAGCACCTTTGAATCATAATTGAAAACTGCACGCATGATGAAGAGTCCTGGCTTTTCAGCAAACGGCATTATGGCAGTGCTATGGTATTATTCCCTGACATGCATGTGTTCTGAAGAAATACTTCTGAAGTCTTAAAATGCTTCTGAAAATGATCAGCAAATTATTTGAGAAGTACCTGTGAAGGGGGAGGACAACTCTATGCATGTAGATGTTTGTTAAAAATCTTTATACACAGAGCTCCATGGATGTATGAAATCTTCAGGCATTTAAATGCTGAAAGGGGCGACAAAAAAAAGTTCTGATTAGATTTGTTCTAAGTAAGATCTTAAACAGCATCTTTACACAGTGTTGGTTTATTTAATTGTGGTGAGTTCTGGGATTCAGCTAACCACTAAAAAGCAGCCTATAGTGAACAGTGCTCTTTGGTTTTTTTTTTTGTTTTTTTTGTTTTTTTTTTTAAAAAAAAAAAACAATTCTTTAACATGGGCATTTTGTTTATTGCAGCAGTTGTCTATGGGATGCCTTGATTCCCATTATCCTGTACTGGTGTGTATTAGGTAACCAGCATAACACCAAGAATAAATGACTGCCTTTGTTTTTCTGAGTCTTAAGGTCCATAAAAAAGCTAATTGGAGCAATGGGAATTTTGCTGAGGATTCGAGTAGGAATAATGCTGCATATGCTAGCTTATTGCATGGTAATACAATAAATTGACAGTGAACCAAAAATAGTAATTAACTAATACTTTACTAACCTGTTCTTCATTATCAATGTGTATTTTAATCTGCATTAAATAAGCGTTACTGTTTCCTAACTCTCAGCAAATACAAAATGGTTAGACAATAAATTGAGGGAAAGCGGTCCAGGGTACATGACATGACAGGCATCTGAGCAGATTTCTTTAAACAGGAGACAAATGAAATTGCCTCAGCAGAGTGCTTTAATACAGTCCTATTTTACTAAGGAGGCCATTGTTAATTGCAAGTATGCTATTGCCCTTTTCCTTATCTAGCCACTTGAGCCTATTCATATTTTATTAACTGTAATCATGGCTATTAAGAAGCTACACACTTTATTACCAGACTTTCAGTTGCTCATCTGCATTCAGGTTACAGTGGATCTTGGTCATCACTACAAATTAGAAAGATAACTCCAACTCTAGAGCAAATCAGCGATCTCTCAGATTTCTGACAGTGTCCTGCACAACGTGCTTCAAAAAAGGTCCCAAGATGGGTAGCACAGAAATAAAAAGCACAACATTTGGGTACTGATCCTAAATTTTCACTGTCTGGGGAAATACTGCACACTTCCTTCTCTACCATGAGCTATACTTCAAAATACATGTTAAAATGAGACACTTAGAACTATTTTATTTTTTTTTTTAAATAAAGTCTTGCTGAAAGCACATCTCAGTTTGACTTGACTTTCCATTTGGGACCTTGTTGCCTAATTATTATTATTAGTTTTTTTTTTTTTTTTTTTTTTTTTTTTAAATCAAAGAATCTCACTAAATTGCCAGGATTTAGAGTGTCCTGTGGAACATGGGCTGCAAATGCTTTAGGGTAAGTGGATAGTGAGTAGGGAATTTTTTTTTTTTTTTAAATCACAATTTAAAAACTTAAGTCTTAAGCGTGTCTGCACTGTTTTGACAGGAGATGGGAAAAGAGGACAGTTTGATCCTCTTTAATCTGACTGCTGGTGCTAACTTTGCCTAAACTTGTTCCAAAAGACAAGTGTTCAGTAAGGCTTTACCTTGTATCAACACAATGTTTTCTGTTTCTCCACAACCTGCTGAAGACAAGGCTACAGAAAAGCACGGCTTAATTTAAGGCATATTTAAGAGCTTATTTCACATAGTACTGTATTAAGAGAAAAGAATAGAATGCTTAGTGACTGAACTTCTGCTCAACAGATTCTTTCTCTTGATATCTATGCAGGAGAGTACAGGAAAAAGCAAGATGAAGGTTACTGTTCTGTAACAGGTCCTGCATTAAGTGAGAAAGTGTCAGCTGTCCATTGCGTATGATCAGCACTGCATTTGGGAACTGATCTCGCTCAGCACTCACCTCCTTCTTTGTTCAGCCTACATCATCTCCACTTCTGTGTGGACCCCTACTTATCTTTTTATCTGTACTTGAACAGAAGTCCACACATCTACAGTCTGCCCAGCAAGCACAGCAAGCAAAAGCAGTATGGGCTTATGAACTATGAACTCAGATGATAAGCATGCCCATTTAGATTTCTTTACTACCTAGATTCCAATAGTCAAATTCATAGAGCCTTGTTGCTATTATCAAATTTGTCTAAAAAGTTCTCTACTTAGTGACTACTTAAGTGGCAGGGGGAGAGGGCAGAAACAGGACAGCAACACCTCATGTACTAATTACCTTTTTGAAATAAGTCTCTCCTATATACACACTAACTGAAGGATGCAGTACTTTCACAAGTAATAATAACGTGCCTGTGCTCCCAGAGTTAAATAATGATGTTATTTATGAAAGAAATAGCTGTTGATTTTTTTAGCCTTTATAAATCCTGAAATGAAGAAACGGCTGAGTTGCTGCACAACTGAAATTATTCTTATACATATGTACAATATGGATTTGGAAGGGGGGGGAAGGAATTAATCCAAGGAACACAAGAACCAGATATTTTACTGAATCCTGTATTCAGTAAACCTTTCTCTTTTGAACCACCGCTTATGGAAAGAACCAGCTGTCTTGCTTTGGGCATATGCTGTTATACACATTCTTCTTCTGCTGTCCCTGCCGCATCCTCCTTTTTCCCCCCTAAAGAAGTAACATTCCACAAGGACAGAGGAAGGTTTTATGCTGCATTTAGTGACATGTATGGACATACCTGTTAACTGCCACATTAGAAATAGACTGCAGTACTTGCAGATGTTTGCTTAATGTGCACAGTATCTTTGCATGAATAGTTAGTTTGTACCACCAAGAGAACTGACCCTGTTGGTAACTGGAGAATAGCAGGCTGGGTTGAGCAACATCCTCTGTTTAAGAGTCGCTTGGTTAGGATAAGGCAGACTGGGTGAAGCTGAGGAAACCAGGAAGAGACTTCTTCCTTTGCAGGAGGAAAAGAACCTTTAAAATGCTACTTGATTGTTACTGAAAGATGTCAAAGATAAAAGAAAGAGCTTTTAGAAAGTCAAGAATTCCAGAGCAGCATTCATATGAAGTATTCCACCCTGTATTATTCCACCAGTATTCTACTCAGTATTATTCCACCCTGGAAAAAAACATGGGTTTTCGTCCCGAAAGAAACTATGATGTATGGATTACTAGAAACTATGATTGCTATGGAAGTAATGACCTTGTAGCAGTGCTTCAATCTGCATGGTTCCTGGAAGGATTCCTCTATATCTTATTACTCTAGTACCTTATTGCTGGGGTACCTAGCCTTCTTCTAAACTTACATTATCCAACATTCTGTAGCACTGAATTCTCACTGTTCTAAAGTCATTGCAAAGCTTTAAAAATGAAACCCCAGTCTCCTCTTTCACTTTGCCATAAAACCATCAGTGCACAGAGGAACTATAGTGAGATTTTGTTCTTGTATTGATACAGCTGAAAGCCTATTATGTTTTGCTAAGTTTTAAAAAGTTAAACATTTCAAAGCTGTGTATAAACTGCTTTCTCTTAACATAAAAATATTTCTTCCCTTGAGTAGTTTTCTCAACTGCCAACAAAATGGAGAAACACATCAAAATATCTAGGAGTGGTAGGTAAATACTGACACAAACCAGGTACATTTAACTGGAAAGAGAGACAACTTGCTCTGAAAGTGCAAGACCAAAGTAGAGCCTTCACATCCTCATTGTTTAAAATACCTAGATGCTCTGGAAGGTTACAATCTAGTGTTCAGGCTACTAAAAAATTGTTCTTGGCAAATGAAAACTTCTGCTGTGGCTGAGTTGCTTACTGAGATTTCATACAAGAAGCATGAGCTTTATAAATTACATGGGTAATGGCTTGTTTAATATTATGATTTATTTGTATACAATCATCATGTATGCAGCCTCTAGGTACAGCAAGTTGAATGCTGCGTGTTCTCTCCAGCCACAAGAGTCCTATAGTATGGGAGCATGTGAACTGATGAAAATGAGAATGAAGAAATGCCACTGCCTAGCAAATAGCTTCTGGGAAGAAAAAGGTATTGGTCACAGCTATTAACTGCAACAAATACTTGGATGAAAGTGGTAGCAGTCTGATCAGCAACTAGCAGCTGGCCGTCTCTTCCACTGTATGAGCACCTTCAACAACAGCTTTCACACACTTGGCCATTGTCTGGGATGCTCTACTGATGGAATCTGCAGAAAGAGACAGATAAAACCACACTAATACATAAACTATTAATTTTTCCAGCATATGCAGATTAACACAGCCAATATAAAAATATGTAGTACAGGACTGCATACAAAGATGAGAAAGACAAATGTCCTATTCTTTGTGCAAATGCCAAGTCATCTTATGAGAAAGTTATGAAGGAAGAGTCAAATTCAACATAAATTGGTGGAAAGCTTTAAGCACCTCATAAAAACCATGCTGTAAAGCTAAGTAAGATGTATTGCAGGTTTCAGAATGGGAAAGTCATCCTCTACATACCTGTCATGTAGAAGTCTTTTATTGTGAGCTGAGGTGGAACAAGAGGATCAGCAAGAAGCTGCTGCTTTACTAACTGTGGCAAGAAAGGAAGAAAAATGAAATTAAGCAGCTTTATGATAGGAACTCGGTACCAAAGTATTTCTGTTGTGAAATCTGCATTCACTGCTGCATTCACTGTTCAGTGTAGATCTAGTTATACTCGCAGTACTGTGTATGAAGGTGGCTCGTTTTCTTAAAAAGCATTCACCTGTGTAACAGCATTAAACCATGCTTAAGTGTTTTGCTTACCTTTGATAATTCATTTGCCTGCTTGAAGTAGTTAGCCTCTTCCACATCATCGTATCGGACCAGGTTAGGAGATACTTCTTCTAAACGCTTCCGTATTTCATCAAGGTTCTCATAAGGTAAGGTCAAACCAGCCAGCTGAGGGATTCACAGAAAGAGATGCCATCAAATCCACATGTTCAATACATAGTATTTTAATTACCAAGCCATTAGCACACTTAAAGTAAAAATTAAAAAAAAAAAAAAAATCAGGAAAACTATGCTCTGGAAAACACTGGCAGTTCTAACATACGGACTGAAGCCTTTACAGCAATCACAGTATTCTGTTGAGATTTGATACATACAGTTAAAACTACCTCATGGTAAAAGAGAAAAAAATTAAAAATCAGGAAAAAGACAGAATATTTGTGTGTGCATATATATATATATACACACACACACACACACACACACACTTGCTTGTACTTTCCCTTGTTTCCTACCAAATGTGATAGAAATTGATGTTATTATTAATGCATCACTTCTAGTGACTTGTACACATGTTCGTGTCTTTCCTGATACTAGATCCTGTCCCAAGCACTGTTTTCTTTCTAAAAGCAACCAATTGTATTCTCCCATCAGTTTGCTCTAAAGCACATCAAGACCACCAGCAGAAATTCCAGATAAAGCTTCATCCAGTATACATTCCAATAGCATACAGCAGCTACAACATTAGTTCTAGCCATGAAAGGTAAACAGTATTATTCAGCTCACACAATAATGAAAGGATTCAATACAAAACACTGTTACATAAGACCACAAGCATACATTTCCCTAGAAATATACCATTTTGGAAACACTTCTCAATAGCAAAGGAACTTAACCACTTGCTATACTTTTACTAGAAGCAATTTATAGTGGAAACATTACCTCAGAGACAGCTCTAATGATTTTCCAGTCTTCCCTTGCCATCCCAGGAGGTGTTACTGCTACTCTTGTCTGCTGGGCCCTACCTTCAGTATTCACATATGTTGCTGCCTTCTCTGTATATGCTGCTCCTGGGAGAATAACATCAGCCATGGGAGCTCCCACATCCCCATGATGTCCTAAATAGGTAGACAAAAAAAAATAAAAACAGTAAACAGCAAAATAAGACAAAGTGGAATACTTTACTAAAGCAATATAGAATTTCTGTGTTCCCAGAAGGAAAAAAGTTTGATGTTCACTTAATCACACAAAGCATATTTTGATGACTTTTCTGAGGTCTTATCTGACCTCACTTTGAGCCCATCTCTTTGGTGATAAGAGCCTGCAAGCAGTAGAAAATAGTGATTCAGCCTCTATAGCCAGTCAGCTTAGTAGAACTCCTGGAACAAGGAGCTTAGTGAATTAAGGTAAGACTGCATTTTGGTATGACAGAACAGCTGGGAACCAACATCTTTCTGCCAGGTCTGAAACTAAGCTGCACACTGTCAAACTGGTTTATATTCCCCTATTAGTCATCAATAATTTCTTATTTCTACTTAAGAAATAGAAAACCAGTCTGTCAGTTGCATGTTGGAAGTTTCATTTCTTGTCAGAAAACAAAGGCTGTAACTTAAAGGGTCAGATACATTTCTAAGAGTATGACACTGTGTAGGCTCCCTCTCCAGCTTTTAGCTGACAACACTCCTAAATTTACATGTACTAATTACCTTGATAGATGATAAAGCAATCCTTTGGCAAATCCTGACGTGTTATACAACCAGAATCTGCTCCCAAGAGATACAATACTTTGGGAGGATTTTTCCTAATTGCCTCCACTCCTGGCTTGAAACCCAGATCCAAAGCAGCTACCTGGCTTGCAACCCTGCAGGAACAAACATGACTGCAAGTTATTTCAGAATTTTCTCATCAGAACAGGATTAATTTTTTTTTTTTTTTAGCAAATATTTTGGACTGCTACATTTCTAACAAGACAAAATTGAAGCATAAACACAGCTGTGAATTTTGAGAAAGTAGCTGACAATACTAGGTTGGTTTTGCCTTTTCACTGACTGATGCCAATTCAACTCTTCCTAATGAATCCCGCTTACTTAAGATGGGATGGCAGAATAAAGGCAGACAATGCAGTTCAGGGCCTAGTGGTGGAGAGCTACCTCGTGAACTGTGGTGTTCTGCATGGCATTTCAGCAATGACCTTTGCTTAGCAGGACTTTCTCCACAGGGCAGATGGAAGACTACCACGAACCACATTGAATCATCTTAATTGTTAAGACCTCCACTACATCACTACTCACTTATTCACACACACACACACCACCACCACATTCTTAAAATGAAGTTGGCACTCCTATTTTGCAGCATTTACTTTTCCATAATCCTACATAGTCAGGTGCCATGTTCATGGATATATTTAGAAATATCTCAGTAGAGTACACATCTTTCAGTGTTACTGTTATAAAATGTTAATTTCTCCTTTCATGCAAAATGATTCATTTTGGCATTAGAAGTTTGAGTCTCAACAGTAGGGTTTTACATTTCAGCTTCCTTGAGAGCTTCCTTGCTCTTGCTAAGGAATATTTGATAGAAGGACTTCACTGCATCTCTGAATCTGAGAGCAACTGCATTTGCTGAAGTCATTTTTCCTTTACAGAAGTTGTCAGCATGACATTCAGTTTTAGAATGGAGTGGGGAAGGACTTCCACATGGGAAGCCTGCCCATTGAATTAATAATAGCACTTAGGTGAAAAGCTTTAAGGTACACACACCACTCAATTATGAACTTGCACAGTAAAGAAATAAGAGGCCATGTTGTTTATATAAGTTCACAATTCTGGTTTTCCTTATTGAGATAAGAAGCCATCATTTAGCAAGTAACAATGGTCTGCCCTGCCTTTTACTGGGCACTTTGGTACATTATTAAGCTCTTTGTGTTTTGTCTCTCTAAATTTACACATTAAATTCCATGGTTAAAGATAGCAGAATAAGAAATCTAATGTAATCTTGAGAAGAGCTTGAGAAGTTTGCCAAGTCAAGAAACTGATTTTTATTTATGCTTCTGCTAGTTACATTCCCTGCAGGTTCTAACCTGATAAAGCATTTAAATACACACAAATAAATTTGTGTGCATGTGTTAAGATAACTTGTGTATGGCCAGCATTGAGTGAATGAAAACAGCCCCCTAAAAAGCTTCAAAGCAAACCTGTGAAGGATGTTCATAACTTTCCAATCAGAACCAACTCCGCTCTTAGTCCTGGCATTTTGTGCAATGGTGGAAACTGCAGCATGGATAGCTGCTCCATCGTTGCGCTGCAGTGCTGCACTTCCTACCACCACCATTGGCTTTTTAGCTTGGTTGAGGACCTGTGTGAGGATGAAGACATGAATTCCAAGGCTCTGATGACTATTCTTAGTGCAGATAAAGTAATAGATAGCATAATTTCAATGTAAGCCTTCCATGCAAAAACTACAGTTCTGAAATAGTCTTTATTACTAAATGAAAGTATTACAAGAGAAATGATGACAGTAGGTACCCTGTTAGCACAGAACTATACTCCAGACTCTTAAGTGGAAACAGCAGTGGCTGATACAGCCTGTTTCACATCAAGAAATATTTCAGGAGTTTCCTGCACCGGAAAGTTTTTACTTGACGTATTAAACAGTTCACACATGCTTAGTGCACACCAATCACTACCTCATCTCTGCAGTTAATTAAACGCTAATAACCCTATACACAGTACTTCTAATCATATCTGTCTCTGTGAGGAATCCAGACTGTTATTCAACGTATCTGAACTTTTAATAGATTCAGAAGCAGTGCGTACCTTGCAGAATGCATGTTTCCCAGAAGCAATGTCCTGGAGTATCTGTGGGGATTCTCCCAGATGATCATACGTGTACGTCAAATTCACAGCAGAGCCAACAAGGGCCACATGCAAGTCATTGTGAAGCCAGCTGAAAACACAGCAAATGTCACACAAAAGAAATACAGGATTTTAGTCAACCAAACCCACTGATATAATTTCCCAAAATAGGATGCAAATTCTTTCAAAACAGCTTAAATATCAATCACTGTTTTATTAAAATGTGGCTTAACATTATTATTTTGGGCAAGCTCATGGTTTTTAGAGCCATTTCTCTATATGCGTTCTGGGATTAATGCAGCAGCACTCCTTATGAAAGAAGTTCAGATCTCAGTTCTCCATTCAAACTTTTGCCAATTTAATGGCAAATAAAACCATGCACAAAATGAGATGCTATACCTTTAAGGCATCTTTTATAGTGTTAAGGAAAAACAAGCAAAGAAAATGGAAAAAACTCATCTACCACTAATATTAAGATTATTCTTGTGCTTAACTCTTGGTTACCTCAGAATTGAGATTAGAATATTCACAGTAAAGAGTTCTGAATTGGACAGTTTTAGAAATCCACTTGCTTATTTGATACAAAGAAAAATGTTGCTGGTTAGAATTTTTTTTTTCTTTGCAGTTCCTCACAGCACAGTCTTCCAAGAGATAAATGTTCCATAAATTTAACTGCATTTTTCTTTTCATCTCAACATTTTGAAGGTTGTCACTGTTTCAAATGATGCACTTTAGAAAATCTCCAACCATAAGGTAGGAAGGGGCTTTATAAACTTCAGTTATCACCCACTGATGCATCTTGTTAAAAATGAATTAGCAATGCTCAAAAGAAATGGCTCCACTGCTTGTCAAAGACAACATGACATTTGAATTACTGTTACTAATCAGAAAGCCTAGTTTGTTAAAACATATATAAGAAGGAGCAAACCAATGCTGAAAATTATTCTTTAAAGAATTATGCTTTAACAAGCAACTTTAAACAAAGTCTAAGGTGTCTGTGTTATATAAGAAAGTAATAAATGAGCATATGAATGTCTTTAAAACATCAAAGTGAGAATGAACAAAACACAACTGTACACTGCAGGAAGGAGAGACACCCCTTGTCTACACAACCCCTCTTAGTAAAGGGTAAACTAAATCCACCAGGTCCACCTGGATGAGTGCCTTCAACTTACTGCCTGCAGCTCTAGTGGAGCACTGAGCCAAATCCAGATGCATTTGCATGCTTGTTCACCACCAAGGGATACAAACCTCTTCCGAATTCTAGCATTAAAAAGCGGTGCCTCAAAGCGTGGATTGGTGCCAACCAGAAGCAGGACATCTGCCTCCTCCACTCCAGCAATCTTGGTATTAAGCAGGTAGTTAGAGCGTAAATCTGTGCTATAACAGTGACAAAAAAAGAAAGAAGCAAGGCAGTGAACATTCAGGGAAGGAGTGAAGAAATGTGAAAATGATACTAAATGCCCCAAATATATTTTTTAATCTCAGCAAAAGATGCTTTTTATTCTGAATTACTAATCCAAATAGAATCAGCAGCTTTCTTAAGTGTCAGAAGCAGCATGAGAAGAACTACAACACAGACAATTAAATAGAATGATTGAGTTATTAAGCTTACAACAAAATACAAAACTAACTCTCAGTAGCTCGCTGTCAAACTGCAGCAGACTCAGTAAGTGTGAAGCTGTACACAAACCTTGCTGTAGTGGAGACTTTTGCCTCTGCTCACAATCAATACTCTCTATAAACAAAACCTGCTAACACATCAGTAATTACTACCCTTGGTCATCTCAGATTCTTACCATAAAATGATTCACAGACTGGAGAGTTTATTAACATAATAATTATGAACTTTGCCTAGATTCTTACCCAGCTCCAGTAGTAGGAAAGATCTCTTCGGTGCAGAGCATATCGCAATTTACTCTATTCAGCAAGTCTTTTAGAGCTATTAGTGCTTCCGCATCCACCAGTCCTCCTACAATTGCTGCTACATCCTTACCTTGGACAGCCTTTAGCTGGAGGGACAGAAAGTATAAACATAAGCAAAGAAACCACAGAATTGAATTCCCTTCGGGGCCAGGTAAATGTGTTAGATTAGAACGAGCCAAAGACAGGCAGTCTACTAGCCTGGAGGAACACAAAAATCAGTACAAGACTTCCGCAAGGCAGCGATTCCAACTCCTTCAGACCTTGCAATGGAAGCAAAGAACAGCTCTATGCAGGGGTCTCTCATTTGAATTACCATATCGACTGATTTTTATTCGGTGTGGTGAGGAAGACTACTTCATGCTTATATTTTAGTGAAGCTATAGCACAGACAAAACAAACTTCCATTGGACAAGCTCTGATAAACTTAATCCACAGGCATTATCTGAGAAGCAATGACTTTCATAACAAATCCTGCTACTGTACCACAGGGTGAAACATCCCCAAGGAAAGTTCAATTACAGTTATTCAATTCTACTTCAACCCACATAAAATTTTAATCAAAATCTAAAGCAGTCATGCAGCACTTCATTTGAGCACCAGAATCAATCACTGCACACAGAGAGCAATGAGGCAAGCACGATTCAGATAAAGGTAATACAGAATTAATGGCTCCAGTGGCAGAAGTGTTGATAGCACAATTTCAGTAAATTTAAAGATTCAGACAGATCGGAGTGATTTAAGAAAGGCACTTCCTCTTGGGATTCTGAAGTAGTTTAGTTTGCTATTTAAATGCCCCAAATTATACACTGCCTGTATATTCTTAAAATCATGATAAAGCAAAATTCTTCAGGTCATCTAACCCACAAAATACTGAATCATATTCAGAAGAGATTTAAGTGGAAGTACAATAGAAGTCAAATTCTCCCCACTAACCTTAGAGAAAAACATCCTTTCCTATATAGCTCTTTCCCTATTAATCACTTTAACTTGTCCAGCCCTAGGAATTAATTTTACATGCTATACATACTGAACATTGCTCTTACCACACCGGCAACACGAGTTAACACATCCTCCCATGAAGCATAAACAAAGAGTCCTTTCTCATTTTTGATCATGGGCTGAGTCAGCCTCTGACGCTTCAGACCATCATATGCAAACCTGAGCAAAAACACTGATGTTAGTGAAGAGCAAAGACAGTTGTGTATACTGAATACTTTGTAAGACTATATTTTTAAAAGCTGTGCAATTATTAGATTTTCCAATTATTCTCCAAACCATGCAAAAAAAAAAAAAAAAAAAAGAAACACCACAAAAATGAAAATACCACAAACCCAATAGCTTTGGTTATCAGCAGTATGTTTTACCAATTACCCTTCATCGTATCTTTCCAATAGTAACAGCAAAAATCAGGAGTCAGAGTTACCATGCAGGTTTCTGGTTTTTAAGTGTGCCTATGTGTGCATAAATGCATGTGTGCAAATACCTCCCACACACCTTGTTTTGTCAGATATCCATTCCTCATTGATATCTTCATGCAGCCTTGGCAATATTCTCATCACTTCTCCAGTCCTTGTGCTCACTACAATGTTGCTTCCAACTGCATCAAGAACATCAATGGACTCTACCTTCCTGTTCAGCAGAATAAACAAACATTTACAGTTTCCTATAGACTAACAGCAGGTAACTGCATAATAAATATTGAAAAATAATCAAGAGCTGTAGGGTAAGCTTTAGATTTACAGTGAAGAGATATCTTTAAAAAGATATTTTAAATAATTTGAACTTAATTAGTTTCAATTTTTCTTCATACACATTTTTCTAATAAGTATAATCTCAAAGATTATGAGCATAATCTAAAAAGTTATAACTAAGTATAGTTTGTCAACTATACCCAGAAACTCTGGCATTTTTCCTTTTCTTGAAAGATTTCTGAGTCAGCAACAGAATATTAGATTTAGTCTACTAAGGGTTCTACAATAAGAAAAATCAGAAAAAATCCTATGATCTGGATGAGGGCATATTGTCAGATAAAGCATAATAGGAAAAACAGAGGAAGTTGCACAGTGAGTTAAGACATACCTTGTCTCCCATGGGCGTGCAGTAAAGGCATAAGGCTTGGAGGTAAGTGCACCAACGGGGCAGATGTCAATAATATTCCCTGATAACTCAGACATGAACATCTTTTCAACATAGGTACCAACTTGCATGTCATTTCCTCTTCCAGTTGTTCCCAAGTCATCTACACCTGCGACCTCACTAGCAAATCTGGTAGACACAATAAGATTGAAAAACAGATTTGGAATGCTTAACAGCAACACAGCACATTTTTTTCAACTCTTTCTGAATACGAATGTTAGCCTTTGTTCACCTACCTCAAGACAGAACTACTACCTTGATACATTCATCTCATGCAGGACTGTACATATGTTGAAACTCATTTAGATGGGGCCACAAAAATTAGGTGTAGTTAAACCAAAACACCACAGTACAGTGGTTTAGCGGTCACTGAACTTCAGAGTTCAAGTCTAAGATTAGCTGTACCTAAGAACTTCTTTCTGGAAGTAGACAGATATGTTGTATTCTTTTTCCATCTGGCTCAAGCCAGTACTACATCTCAGAACCAAGGAACAGCATAAATACAGCTACCAGAGGCTGTCAAGAATAAATCAATCTTACAGTTCTGGCCAAGGAAGTCACCAGTTCTGTCTAACAGAGTGCCAACTTCACTCCATTCTGGCCATCTCTCTCTGCTTCCTTTGACAGCTGTCTGGCAGCTCTGGGAAAACAGCCATCAGTCCCTTCCAGAAAGAGTTCTTAAGTACAATTAGAAAAGGGAAAAAGAAATGTTGGCTGCCTCTCACATTTCTTTTACAAGTAACAAGTTTATATAGATATTGCTGCTGAAGTACTCTCTGAAAAATAAAGGACATTACCTGATACACCGAGTGCACTGTATACACCGAGTCATGATTGTTTTGACTAATGGGCCAATGTTCTTGTCCTCAACAGCGCGTTTTCCCTCTCTAAATCTACTCCTATCACTGCCAAACATCATTGATTGATCCTAGAACAGACAATGAAAAAATATATGTATCCAGACTGCTGGACAGCACAGTGTCACCTAAGGCAAGACATTAATACATGTCTACACCATTTAAATGAATGTTGTACCTGTAGATCACATTCTCCACCCTGATCACAGATAGGACAGTCCAGTGGGTGATTTGCCAGCAGGAATTCCATTACACCCTCTCTGTTGGATTCAGGAATACAGTTAATGTTCACTCCATACCCGTTAGCAAACAGTACAAGTAATCAGCCACAGGAGACTAAAACAAAGGTACCTTGCTTTCCTGGACTTCTCAGAATTTGTCAGAATGTTCCAGCCCTTCATAACTGGCATGGCACAAGCAGCTACTGGCTGCAATCATCATAAACAGCAAGCATGAGCACAACATATTTCTTCTCAGTATTGACATAAATCCCAGCCTCCCTTCCCAAATTCTGACATAGGCACCTGTTATTAATTTAACACATTACAGAAATAAAAAGGTCTCTGCACTAAAAAAGAAAAAAGGAAACCTAACCAGTAGTGTCACTAGAAGTCACTAATTTAATATTAGTTACTAATAACTTGCTGAAAAAAAAAAAAAAGGTTAGATAATTGAGGTAAATTATTTCAAAAACTTCTAGTACTGAAGTTGAAAGCATGTATCATTTAGCTACTGGGCACTTATTCGAACACAACATTTCCCAAGAGTCATGGAATACAACTCTTCACAAGATGAACGCAAAATTATCAAAAACTCCTCCTCAGAAAATGAATCCTTCCTGCCTTCCACTCACATTATGATACAGATCATAATTTCAATCTGCAATGATGCAATACTACTGGAGATACAAAGCTCAAACTGTTGAATTTGAGCTGACATGAGCTAGGGAGTTTCACAGGAGTACACAAATGTTTATTTAAGTGCCCAATCCAAAACTCCAAAAGAATGCCTTAAGTATCTAACTGGACTTGGTGGTGGTGGGGGGTTGGAACTACATGATCCTTGAGGTCCCTTCCAACCCAGGTGATTCTGTGATCTGTGATTGGTAGAACAATACTGCAGAAGGCAGAATTCAATCTGAGTTAGTTACTATTTTACAGTGAACTTCAATAGTACACAATGCACTAAAATATAAAGTGGTAACTACAGTCCTTAGCTAGAGCAAACTAGTGCAAGTGCTAATCCTGTGGCTGAGTCCAAGTGTTCTGCTTGTGTGCTATCAACTGAAAATCTGCAGGTGAAGCTTGAATTACATAAGAACATATCTGAAAATACACAGCTATCAAATGCTCATCTCACAGCAAGATAATACATAAGAAAAGGAGTGACCGCTCACAGGTTTAAAAATAGACAATCACAGCAGCTCAGCATAACTTGGCCTTAATGCATAAATAACATAAAGATTAACTTAAAAGTGGGGAAAGGGAAAAACCTGCTTGAAGCAGCTGAATTACAGTAATTCCTGTGCTTAAGATTGTACAAAACAAGGACAAAGTAAAAACTGTACTTCTTACAGAACATACACAGTACCTTTGGAGCTTTCTCTATTTCCACAAGACACATCCTACAGTTTCCAGCAACGGAGAGACGGTCATGGTAACAAAACCGTGGTATCTGAATTCCAGCCTTCTCACAGGCCTACACAGAATAAAGAACAAAGGGAAATTAAGTTTCAGTTATATCTTTCAGTAAGATCTTATAACACATAGCACAGACAGCTGAAGTTTTTCCCCCAAAGAGCAGCGGTTTTAGTGCCCAGAAATACAGATCTTTCAACTTCTCAACTCAACTAAACTCTTAGCTTCTAGAGAAATAAGCTTTAAAAATTGTAAACAAGCAGCAATATGCAAAGGTTATTAATAATAAATATGATTGTTTTCCAACACAATGCCTAGCTGACAAACTGAGAATTGGTCTTTCATTCTTTCTTTAAAGGTTGAGGAAGTCTGTTTATTAGATAGAACACCAGAAGCAAGAAATAAAGTTTTAAAGAAAAAAGACACTATTTGAAGTGAAGTACATAAAGGAAAACTTGAAAAACATGTAAGAAAGAATGGGCATTATGACATCAGAAAATCCAACAAAATTGGTACACAGCATGAATGCACAGGGGCACTGTCCATCTTCAATCTCAGCACAAACTTAAGCCCAGAGAAACAGTCTTCCACACTATGTCTGAAGAGGCAACACAACAGGTAAGACAAAAGATTTGCTGAGAGTGAATGAACCTGCTTTTTGTCTACAACCCCCCATATCACAGTATTCCTATGACAGCACTAGCTTCAGATGACACAAAAAACACTACAGAATTATTTGTGTATGTACCACCAGTCAGAAGTCATCAATTAATTAGTGAATTGTATCTATAACAATTAGATAGATCAATAAGATAGGACAGTATCTTATTATCAGCACAATATAAAGGTGTACCATTAGGGAAGGAAAAAAAAAATTGCTTACCCACATTAGAAGACATATTGGAAGAGTGCAGGTTCACAGAAGAAAGCTCCACCAGGGAGGGATCTCCAGAAAGAGATCCTTCCCCCATGGGGGTCAGCCCTTAAATGAGGTCTAAGAGAGGTGCAGCCAAGCTCCACCCCTTCCAGTCACACAGCTGAATTGCCTCCACCTGTGCTCCCAGGGCTGACCCAATCCTTTCCCTAGAAGCTCAATCAGTGGTTCAGGCCGTGACTCAACAGTTGCCACACAATATCCAAAGAGCAGCTATGTTCTAATTCATTATACTGTACCCCCACTGAATGGCTGCTTGAAAAGATGTCAGACTGGAGAACGATCTACTTGACATTTTGGCCTGAAAAGCAGCAAAAATCAGCGTAAGCTGGGAGATCCAAAGTCTGCTATTCCCCACAGCAGAAAGAATGGAAGCAGTGCAGGAACAGCATTATGAGCTGTAAGAACTAGTAACCAAAAGCAATCCCTTGTTTGCCTGAGACACCATTTTAAGGAACAAAATCAGCAGATGATGATGCTCAGTTCAGTCATTAGACAGGTGTTACAGCTTCTAGAATCTAGAGCTAGAATTTGTAGCTTATGGAGTTTGCCATAGCTGATAGCATTCCGAGCTGGAACCAGAACTTATTTAAGCCTATTCTTGTACGCCTTACTTCAGCCTTGCAGATTGGATTCAACGTGAAATCGGAGGCACACAAGGCCAGGCTGGACCGGCCGCAGGCAGCCTGACAAGAGTGGCAGAGCCGCCCACAACAGGGAGGGGCTTTAAGGTCCCTTTCAAACCCAGGCAATCGGTAATTTTAAGATTTTAAAGGCTTCTGCAAGCGAGAACACAAACGCCGCAAAGAGCCGCGACGGAGCGCAGTAAAGCCTCGCCGTGCGGCGCCCGCACCTGCAGCACCGTGGTTCCGGGGTCCACCAGCACGGGATGGCCGTCCACAAACACCTCGATCTGGTTGCCGGCTGCCGTGGCAGTCGTGCGGCCTGAAAGACAGGGGAAAGTTTTCGTAACAAGCCCTTCCCCGGCAGCCGGACGCGAACAGGCAGACCCCGCACCCGTCGCGGTCTCACGGCGCCGACGCGACTCCGGTCCCGCTCACCTCCCGCCGGTAGCGGGCCGGCACCACTTACCGCGCAGCGCGGAGGCCGGCGCGGCCGCTGCGAGGGCCGTGCGGAGGGCGTGCAGGCGCAGCATGGTGCTGTGCGGCGTTCTGCGGAGAGAAGCGGCGCGGGGCTGCGGCGCTCGGAACGCCTCGCGGCACGCTACAAACGCGCCGACTGAGGCGCGCGGCCCGGGGTCACCTTGCGGGCGGCTACGCCGGCAGCCCCGGCCTGCCTGGCGCCACCTCGAGAATGGCGGGAGGAAGGCGCCGGGCCCGCGGCTGCAGCCCAGCGCCCCTACCTCGAGGAGGAGCCGATCCCGTTACCGGCGGCTGCGGGACGGCCGGCGGAGATGGCTCGGCCTTACCCGTCCGCCACAGCCCCTATGGCGACCGCCTCGGCCCTTTCCGCCGCTCCTTCGGCAATCTCCGGGAACGAGCCGATCGGCAATTTTCGGAACGGAGCTCTTCGGATCGCTCCGCTAGGCTGCGCCCGTCGGCAATTTCCGCCTTCCCGCGGAGCCCTCTCGGCCACCGTCAAACGCGCCGCTCCGGCAAGTTCCGCCTGTGCCGCTGCCGCTTTCGTCGGCCGACTGCCGCTACTTCCGCTGATGCAGCGAAGCGGGGGGAGGGTGGGACGAGGATCGGTGTAACACCGGCCCAGTACTGACAGGGCTCCTGAGCTCCGCACGTTCCGCTACACATCTCACTCTAATCCACCTCCGCTCGTATGTCGCCCAGTTTGCAGCACGCCCTGCGCTTGAGCGGCGCCCAGCCCGCCGGGAACTATTTCGGCGCTTTCCGGCGGAAGGATACGTGTTCGTGCAATGCCGCGGAGGGATCAGCCGCTATATAAGGGGAGCGCAGGGAGTGCTGGGCCTCTTTGCGCGGCGGCGGGGCTTCGGTGTGGGTGGCGTTGGGCGCCGCTGCCGCCATGGGCTTTGGGGACCTTAAGTCCGCTGCCGGCCTGCGGGTCCTCAACGACTTCCTGGCCGACAAGAGCTACATCGAGGGGTGAGGGGCGGCGGGAGGGAGTCGGGCTGGGCCGTGGTGAGGCCTGATGGGGGAGCGGCGGGGTGGCCCTGGGACACGCGTGTGCGTAACCCTCGTGTCGGGTGGGCGGGCGCTGGGCTGCCGTTGGGGCGCGGGCCGCCGTGTGCTCGGTGGAGGACGCCTTGTGGGCTCTGAGCACGGGGTTGACCTCGGCTTCTTCCTGCAGGTATGTGCCCTCCCAGGCCGACATAGCGGTCTTTGAAGCTGTCGGTGCCCCGCCTCCTGCAGAGCTGTTCCATGCTCTTCGGTGGTACAATCACATTAAGTCCTACGAAAAGCAAAAGGCGAGGTATGCTGAAACTGCAAACTGAACACGTGTGAACTGGTGTGCATACTGCTGTGTTTCTCTCTGAGCTCAGAGAGGAAGGGGCTTTTCTCTGCTGCTGTATGGCCTCTTGCAATAGAAACAAGGAACAGATGAGGAAGCTGAATCTGCCTTTGTGCAGATTCTGCAGGGTTTCTGTAGAAACTTATAAGAGAGCTTGGGTCTTGTTGCTGTCTCCTACTCAAGTGACTGTGCTGAAAGCTGGAAATTACTTAGCAGTGATCTACTCCATGAGGGTAGGATCAGAATTAGGAGCTCTGAGAGAAGGCTGAAGACAACAGGCAGAAATGAAGAAGGTGATTTGTTCAGACTTCTAATCCCGGAAGGTGACACTAAATTGAGGATTGACAATGAAGAAAAACATGTGAAGAATGATGACTGTAAAGGCAAAGGCTATTTCTTCTCTCTTTTAGTGATGTTAGTGTTCATGAAAGGTGCTGAATTGACATCCATGGTGACTGCAGGCCTCTCTGGAAAGGTACAGCATGGGCAGTGTCAGCACTGCTACACTGTCACCTTTTTGTGCCCCAGCCCTCTTCTGGAGGGGGCTGGTGTGAAGTTGGGTGGCTCAGCTCTCAAACCCAGACAGGACTGAGATGATAAAGTTTCCTCAAAAAGTCCACTCTGGAAACTTCAGTTAATTACTGAAAATTAAATCTTAACTTTATGACATTTATAGCAGCAGTTCACAGTAACAATAGGAAACTAATGGGATTTTGGTCCCTTGTGCACCGTCAACATGTTTTCTGTTACTACTAATTTAAACAAGTGAAAATATTTTTAGGGTAACAAATTGATAACTCCTGTTACACAAAATATATTGCAGATTCCATTATGAAAATTTTTACTATCCATATAGTCACACACACAGGGCAGCAAAATAACATGGGATCCATCAGTGATTAGATAGGCAATCTTTGTAGGATTTGCTGTAGTCTCAATTAAGGTGTTTCCAGAAGCATTGTTTTGTGTTTTCAAGTAGCAAAATTAACTTTTCTTGTGCTTATCACAGTGTTATTGCTATGAATGTACTTACGAATGGCAATCAAGTAACATTTCTACAGATATTTGAATAGGTTCTTATTACCTGTTTTCCTTTAGTTTGCCAGGAATAAAGAAGGCTTTGGGGAAATATGGTCCTGCTGATGTTGAAGACACAACAGGTGCAGCCACAGATAGCAAAGATGATGATGACATTGATCTTTTTGGATCTGATGATGAAGAGGTATTGGTGACTTAGTTTTATACATATATATTTAAGCACCACCTGGATAGGCAAGCGTTTACCTTACTAGTTTTAATTTGTGACCTTAATAACAGATACTGTTCAGGATCTCCAAACTCCAATGTTTTTGTTGACTGTAACATAAGAACTCTCCATTAGAAAGAAATAGGATGGGTTGAAATGTCTGCTTTGACTGGTTACATGATGAATAAAACAAAAATCACCATCTTTCGGCTGACAGCTGTGATGATTTGTTTTTTCCTGAGTAGATGCCAGTCAATCTAATAATGCTTTAAGATCCAGGGCTTTGGCGCTTTTTTTTTTGGTGACTTTGTATTTCTGTTTCAGGAAAGTGAAGAAGCGAAGAAACTGAGGGAAGAACGCCTGGCCCAGTATGAATCAAAGAAGTCCAAAAGTATGCCTTTGAATAACTTTGACCTCCTTATGAATTTGAACAGCATGATTAGAAATAGTGTTTGTGAAAGAGAAACTTCACTGGAATGAAGCAGAAGTAGTTTGCTTCACCTGAATGGTCTGTGAGCTTAGCCTTTCCTATAGCAAATCTGAACCGTAGCATACTGTTTGTCCTGTCTATTATACCTTTGTTTATCTTTAATGAAGAAGCTAAGCTTTTTCTCTACAAAAAGAACTCTGGGATCTTATTTGAATAAAACAGATGCAGAGTAGTATAAAATGCATCTGCATGAGAATTCTGACTAGTCTAAGAAAGTCAATAGCTTTGAAAAGAAAGGCTGTTGCATGCAGGTTCCTCCACAGTTACTGGTCTGAAACTGTTTGGGATTGTAGCAGTTGCAGTATTCCCTCTGTGGAAGATAAACTGTTACGTAGTATTAAGCTCCTTCTCAGATCCCCTAAGAAGGACTTTCTATGTAACAAACAATGTTAGCTTATGTTACCTTTTTAGAGCATTTTTTGAAAACATGCATCTACATCTTAAATATCAGGATATATATTTTCAGAACTCTTAAAAACGCATGTTGGTACAAAAGGCCTGAGTTATGAAGTTTTTTTTATTAAGCTGGGAAAGTTTGTCTTGTGAAGTTAGTTTTGCAGATATATTCTTGAGCTTCCTGAAAATTTCCCAGCTGTTGATAGGAAGTTTCTTTTTTCTTTCTTCAGAACCAGCTGTTGTTGCCAAATCATCAATCTTGCTTGATGTGAAACCTTGGGATGATGAGACAGACATGGCCAAATTAGAGGAGTGCGTTCGAAGCATTCAAGCAGATGGCCTGGTCTGGGGGTCTTGTAAGTAACATTCAAAGTGGGGAAAATGGTGATCATGTGGTGTGTGGGTGCTGTATATCTATCTGTGATAATATAGGTAGCTAAAATAGAGAATTAACTGCCATGCTGCGCAGAGCATGTGCACCATGAGCTGGGCATGTGTGCTGCTTGGTGAACTAGCACCCACTAAATAGCAAATTGATGTTTTTCTTAGCATAATCTCACAAGAGTGATAATGTAAAAGGGGTTAGTCAGAAAGCTGCTAGGGCAGCAGCAAGGTTTAAGATTCAAATAAGCACAACTTTCAGATCAACTTGTTGATTAATGCTGTCAGCCACTTATATCTTTGACTTGACTTTTCAAGCAATGAGTGTTTAATGCTTTTTTGCTTGTTTGTTTTGCAGCCAAGCTAGTACCAGTTGGCTATGGTATCAAAAAGCTTCAGATTCAGTGTGTTGTTGAAGATGATAAAGTTGGAACAGACATGCTGGAAGAAAGAATAACAGCTTTTGAAGATTATGTACAATCAATGGATGTAGCTGCTTTCAACAAGATCTAAGCCTTGATATATCTAGAATAAATATAATTGCAAAAATTGGGCCATCTCTGTCGTTAATTCAAAGTCATAGTGCAATCCAGTTTGTTAATGTAAAATTTGATTGATGGGTAAAGTAGAAGCTAATACATTGGATTTTAGGATTGTTCCAGCACCATAGTACCTAGTGCCAGAGCAAAGAGAGAGTTGCCAGTTGCCGTATGTCTAGGCTTAATATTCTTGTGGCTTTAAATATCTGAAATGCCCTTTATTTTAGGTGGTTACGTATTGGGATACTTGTGTTTAATCTGGAAGGAGAGATTGCTTTCAGGGAGAAGCACAGGGCTGTAGCACTTTTTTCAAAAGGAATATAAATTTTGTATAGAAAGGGTGGTGTTTAACCAAATAGTTGTATGGTGGCCTTTGCCTTTTCTTTTTGAAAGCTATAGTTTAACTGGCACTAAGGGAATGAAGACAAAGATAGGGAAGTTTAAAGCAACGAGGACTGCAGTGCAGTGGAGGTTATGTGGTGAAATGTACTGTTTACCCTGGCAGTCTCAAGTCAAATTAACTTCTCACCATCTCCAGTTGTGTAGATCTGAGATTTTTTTTCTCCCGAAGTGTTAAAAAATAGAAATAACTTCAAATTTTCCGGGAGGGAGGGAGGGCTTAATTAGTACTGCATAATTCCTGCTTTAAGGTCAAGGCCTTGGTGTGCCTTAAACTGCAGGCCAGTATTGGTTTTTAACCTTGAGTAGTAGGATTGTGACCCTTGAGGTGCGATTAATGCACAGATAGCTAGGGGGCAGTGTGTCCCTTCAAGAGGACCGGGGCATTGCCACGTGCTTGGAGGATTAATGGGGTGCAGTGGCTACATGCTACAGTTAATGCAGGTGGATAATATCTTATAATTTTGTTCAAGTACAGCTTACTACAGCGTGCCTCTGAAAAATCAGTATCTTAGACTGAATGAGACATTCCTGTTTCAAATGTAACCTGTAATGACAAGATCAATCGTAAGTTTGAGATCTTAAATGCAGTCATATAAAGTAACATGGGAGAACTGGTGCCTCTTTTAAAAAGGGCTGCCAGTTACCACTGTTTTTTAAAGTAATAGAGTTTTAACAAAAGTGTCAGAAACACTTCCACACAATCTTCAAAAGAACAAACATTAAGAAGCAGTTAAGAATGGAACCTGCTGCTATTAAGGTTTGTTGTTTTTTGTTTCTATGCAGTATCTCATAGCAAAATAAGACAGATTCCCTTCCTCTGCTTCTTTTTTCATCATAGAGCTTTGAATGAGCATTCTTCTGTCCAAGCAGTGTAGGAGAGTAATTGGACTTTTTTGTTATTCTTTGGAAACAGACCGAGAATGCTGTTTTGATTAGATATCTTCCATTACTTTTGCAGAAATGAGTTGGAGGCAATTATGTAGCTGATCTTGGTATGAAGGAGGTAGCAATAACCTTGCGAAGTTGTTGGTCTATTTTTTTCCACAAACTGGGACTGATATTGGCCAGATTCTATACTATGTGGGGCAAGCTTTTGGTGAAGGTGGTGGTTAGATGTTGGCAATATGTTTTTTTTTTTTTTTTAAATCCAGAGAGCTGGTCCAAGCAAAGCATTGTAAAACATTTTCTGATTACGTACACAAGACAAAGCAAATGTAAAATTCTCTTGTTTTGAAAATCAAGTTCTTTGCTCATATATTTGTTCTCATTATCTAATGTGCATGGAAAAAAAACTGAATAAACTTTAATTCCTGTAACATAAAAGGTCAGGGTTTTCTTTCATCTTCTAAAAACGTCAAGAAGGTGCTGTTCTGTGAACAGTCACTGTGTATTTGCTGCTGAGAAAAGCAAATGAACACATTCTTCAGAGCCAACAGAATTTTATTACTCCACTTGGAGTACAGTCAGGGAAGGAGCACTAAAACACATTCTTAGAAAGATGTCAAGGAATATGTGAAGAAAAACAGCAAACAGTTGATTTAGGCACGCTCAGCTGCATAGTGCCAGAATATTATGGGTGAGTCACTGTGTACCAGGCAGTGAATGACTCAAAGGAAAGAATGCTGCTTACCAACTTTCCAGCCCAAAGTTAAATACACTGAAATTCCATAGGTTCTGCCTCACTAAAACTTTGAGACCAGAGCCCAAAGAAACAGCTACAGACCACAATCAGACAGTTGCTATTTATGCAGCTATCAGTACTGGATGTGCTTATGCATGAATGCAGATGCATAGTTTTACATACAAGGCTTCATTTACAATATAAACTCGACTTACGTGTTAACATGTAGGTTATGTGAAAGCCAGTTTTACTCTAGATATGCAGGCCAGTAACAATAAAAAGCGAGTTACCTAAAGCTTTATGCTTTTATTCTTCGCAGTTTTATCTCACGTACAACTTCTCGATCAAGTGGTACTGCCTCAGAAATTGGTCTGCTCCTCTTAGCATGTATATTTGCATTGCTGTAGGTGTGATTCTACAGCAGGCAACATGTTGGAGCAGAAAATAGGACAACTGGGTCTACTGCCTATTTCTTATGCAAGCGAACTTTGTATTTTGGCTGTACAATCTTGACTGCAGCTTGGTAGAGAGGTCTGAATTTGGCTACCTGCTTGTAAAAGAATGTTGTTGAATTCACTCTACTCCTATTTAGACAGTAGGACAAAATGTTTTACTGCATCTTAACCTTTGTTTGCAAGACCAGCAGAAAACAGCTGATAATTGTGAAGTCTCTGAAACCTGAAAGTTTAAACACAGAAAAAGAACATGTGACAAGGGCTTTAAGTCTCAGATTCAGTGGGAAACATTTCCACTAATTCTTTGAATATTTCAAATGAGCCAAAATACTTTCTGAAACACCTGCTTAGTATTTTACAACCAGATGGCATTAAAAGCAAAAAATGACAAGAAACCACAGCCCCCTGGCTCAGCTCAATATAAGACAAAACAACGGGAGAAAACATTTCCGTGCTTCTTTAGAAGGAAAAGGCAGCAATTCAGTGTTCTCTGTATTGAGTTACTTTTCTGATTGCAGAGTGAAGCTAATGACAGCTTCTTTTGGCTCGGATATAGCTAGGTGACTCCTACTTTAAACAATAGTGGAATACTTGTGACACTCACAAACCACTGATGTCTGACATGATCTCTCACATGAGGATGCCTAGATCAAAAGTGTTATCAGTGGCGATCAGAGGAATGTTATGTGCTCTTTTGTGATCACTGAAGTATTGTCAACAACAGGAGTACAACAATATTCCTGATAGAAAACCCAGACGACTTTCTATTCAGGCCGTCCACGCTGCAACCACACCACACCCAAATGATGTATCCTTTAAAAACATTTAAAGGAAAGCAGCAAGCACAGTAAAGCCAGCCATTAATACAAAACTGTATATGCAAAGATGCACATCTCACTGGCAGATGTGAAGCCAACAACACCTCCAAATCTGTCAGCTATTTTATAGATGGATGGTGGTGAACAGTCACTGAGCAGTTTCGCAGTGGTGCACAGGCGCATGAGTGTTGTCTGAGTTCCACAGCTGCTCACTGACGGTTCCTGAGCGGCTCACTTCCCACAGTGCCAATTTTAGCACCTCAGAGACTGTTGTCTTGACCTGAGCCTGAAATTTCTTGCTAATGAGAACATAGAGGATTGGATTGAGACAACTGTTGATGAAAGCAAGGCCCGTGGAGAGGGGAATGCCATCCTGCAATAAGTCGTGCAAATTTTCGTCATGGTGAGCAGAGAGCTCCACAATGCTGAATATGTGATATGGTGTCCAGCAAAGAAAAAAAGCTACAACTACAGCAATGATGGTCCAGAAGAGCCTGCTAGAAGTCAACACCGTTCTCCTCTTTACTTTAACGATCAGCAATGAGTAACAGATCACCATGGTCAGTAGAGGAAAGAGGTAACCAAATACAAGCCTCACCCAAATCAGAATGTGATGTCTCAGCAAAACGAGTTCTCTGTCATGCACGTGGAAGTTGTTGTAGCAAATGGTGACATTGTTGAGAGCAGTAGCTGTGTCTCTAAAGTATAAGGCAGGGCCACCAATAATGGCAGCTGACATCCAAATGATCATACTAAGAATGAGGGTGTTCTTTATAGTCCGGTACTTGTAGGAAAAAACTGGGTGCACAAGGCGGATGTAGCGGTCAAGGCTGATGAATGTCAGGAAGAAAACACTGGCAAACATATTCAGTAGTGCAATGAATGAGTTCATTTTACAGAGCCACTTCCCAAAAGGCCAGTGGAAGCCCATTGCCACATATGTGATATAAAGGGGCAGAAAGAGAACAAAAATGAAATCTGCAATGGCCAGATTGAGGAACCAGAGCGTAGAGACAGATTTATCCCACTTGAAGCCCATAAACCAGATGACGATGGCGTTACCCGGCACTCCCAGAAGAAATGCCACACTGTAAAATGAAAGGGAAATCACATGGGCAATGCTGAGGGTGGACTGGGGTGATTCTTCTTCCTCAGGCAGGTCATAGAAATAAGAGTAGTTCTCAAAATCTTCAAATGACATGTTGCACAGCTGCTTTCTAGGGAAGAAAAGAAATGGAACAATCAAAGGGAAACTGTTTTATTGGGTTGTACATAGTAACCTCAACTCCTTTCAGTTTAGTTTCATATTATCATTTGCTAACTACCAATCTCTATGACAAAGCTTGTGGAGTATTTGGCTGTAGACATTAAAAAAAAGAAAATAAAAATAAAAATAAAAAATCTCCAGACAAGTAGTCCAGGAACTGTTTCCCTTGCTTTTATTTCTTAAGAGAGCACTGATCACAGCATCACTGGTGGATGATGTTGCAAAGTTCTACTGAAGTGTGATATGTATTCTTTTCTAGTTGGGTTTGGTATTTTATCACTGTAGCGGAAATGCTAAGTCGCGGCCTGAAACAGTGATTGAACACCTGGCAGGAAGGCAGGGCCAAGCCAGGGGAGCTCAGGTGCATGCAATGAGATTCCCAGACCTTATTTAAGGGTTGGCAGTAGAGGCAACGGAGTCTTGTTGCAGATTCTTGCCTATGTGATGCCTTCTGAAGGTAAGCAGTTTTTTTCCTTTATTTCTGTGCCTATGGCTGTTATGTTTGAGAAAACTCTCATTTGTTGTAGCCTAGGACCTTGTTGCTCTGCTGTCATCACTGTACTTTCCATTGCTTTACAACTGCTCTAATCCCATTTGAGGCAAGTTTTATAGACTGTGTCTCTATCAAAAATCAGAGTAGCACTGGGCATCTACAAAGGCAAGAAAGTGCCAGGGAGTCTTCTTTATAAAACAAAACAAAACAAAAAAAACTGTGCATCCTCACACATTTCAAGTTATAGTTAATAAAATACAGACAGTGACTTTGCTAGCAAATGAAAGTTCATAGCTTTATTCCTGTCTATCACATATTAGATTTGCCCTCATATCAAGGAGTGCTGATTCTCAGACCCACTCAGTTTAGATTCCCTGGGGTACAGCCCAAACAAAATGCAGCAAAGGATGTAGAGAAGGAAATATAAGGAAAATAGTTCAGTGGCAATGCATTCAACTGGTGTATTTTTCCACTAGTGATTGGAGAAACAGGTAATAGAGGAAAGAAAACAAAGTTTCCAGGAGAATAATACACACTGTAAGTGCTACAGCTGGAAATGCATTATGTTTGGTTTGTTTTGTTTACTTGGTTGTTTTGTTTGTCTTTAAAAAGTCTCCATTTTCTTCTGTTACAAAAGCTTCTGGAACTTGCAAGTACAATGTGATTTTTCAAATAGGAATTTTCCTCTAAAGCTAAAGAGGAAGAGTGTAGGAGGGACAGGAGGAGTAAAAAGGAAAACATAAACCAATAGAAAAATCCAGAAGAAAGAAGAAATGCACAGGAAAACATCAAATGACAGTTGAGAAGGAAAAAGCACTTAGAGGTCCTGTATTCTTTCCAAAGTACAGAAAAAGAAAGCATAGATGACCCCAGTCTGACAAAAGTATCTTCCACATTCAAAAGAAATATTCTGCTTATTTCTGTCATCATTTAAAGCAGTGTTTTTTGGCTGCACTCAGCTGCACTGAGAGCAGGATGTGACCAGCCCACTGTCTGTACTATGGATGAGCTCCATGGTACATTTGAGTGCTAGTTCTGTTCAGAAACAGAGAATCAGCCTGCACTTTTGGAATCCAGCTATGCATTCCTGCAATTCCATTAATTTTGGTACGCTAAAGGACAACAGAAACAGGACGTCAGGAAAAAACTGCCTGCAGAAGCACGTCTGCAAGCCTGTATTTATATAAGTAACTTTCCTTGCATAAGTGAAGCTACGTATGTGCACACATTGGCAGGATTTGAATTCTCATTTATAGATGGATGGGACAAGGTTAGAACAACAAAGCTGTGTAACTTCACATCTCTTGTTTAAAAAAAATGTAATAAAAGTCACTGGAGCCTCGTCTATCAAGAGGCCATGATAACATTTGCCCCTTGCAATTTGCATCAAGCTAAAGGAATGTTATTTGCTTTGCTGCCCTGATAAAATGATACATATTGGGCTGTATTCATGTAATTACATGCCCCACGGGGGTAGGCTCTGCATCAAATTCTGGTACCACCCATCTGAGTAATTTTTTCAAATAGCACAACATCTGCTGAGAAATGGTATAAACAAGAAGCAGTGCCACTAACATCTGGAACAACCCTACATTTGGATAGTTTCAGAGAATACTGAAGTTAACTGGGCTTTTAACTGTCCTTGCCTGTATATGGAGTTATACCTAAAGTTGAATTTATGCAATTAAATAAATCAGTGTAGTTTTCCAGTATCTTGATGATTAATATCCTGTATCTTAGTCATTAGTCAGGTTTGCATCTGAGTTTCTCAATAGCTAGCACAATACAACACTTGGATTCAAGCATTTTCTCCCTTAAAGTGTAACCCTTAAACTATCTCTTCCTAACTGGGCTAAAAACAACAACAATAACAGATGTTTCCCTACTGCCCAGCAAGGTTCATTTAATATTTAGAACTTCATGGGTGACGTACAGCAGAAAGAAAAGTTAAACACTGAATACTTACAAGCCTCCACCCAAAGAGCATGCATCTAGAATGCAATGTACTTTGAGGAAATATTTTTCCAAGGCTACCCTTTCACTTATCTCTAACTGCCAGTCTTCCAGTACAGTAACAGCAGTGAGGTTTAAAAAAAAGTGGGAGGAACATTGTTTACCATTGCTTTCAGGGCACAGATGATGAAAGCAGACTACATGGCTAAGACTTCACAAGACTGCCAATTCAATCTGCAAAGCCCAGAAGCTGCTGCATCCCATATATACAAAACACTTCTGTGACAAGATTCATGGCATTAGGTGCTGCTCTGGAAAAGATAAGCAGCAGGGGATTTTCAGTGGAGCTATGCTGTTTTAAAGCAGTAAGGATGCAGATTTATTTTTTTTTTTCCCCTCCTGGGACAACTGTTAACCATCATTCACAGCAGATATTTCTTTGTGTTACACAGTCCCAAACATATGAGTTAATTTATTCTTAATCTTTAAGAAGCAGAAACTATCTTGAAGTCCAAGTTCAGATCTTGAAAGTGAAGAAATTAAGTTCTATTCCTTATTTTGTTTCTGATTTCCTGCACAATCTTTGCCACGTGGCCTAATTTCCAGACTGAGAAGACTCTTCCATGAACTTCTCTGCAAAAAGAGGTCCAGTAGGAAAGACTTTTTTTTTCCATTTGGCTCTCAGGCTTATTGTTAGAAAGAGAGAGAGAGAGAGAGATGATGCTGCTCAATGTCTCACACTCTACTGGTCCAGGGCTGCGAAAATGGGCCACAGGGAGGAAAGTATTTCTTAATAAACAGGAAAATGTGGTCAGAGACCTGGCAATAGGACCTGGGGGCAGCTACAGGTTACAGAACAGTGTCGTATTGCATTTGGATGAATATAACCAAGTTTAGACTACATCCTGTCTTTCTAAATAGTACACAGTCTGTGTAAAGTGTGTGCTTAGCAGTTGTCCTTTGACTGGTGTCTGTTCCTGTTTGCTGAGGTAACAAGCAGCTATGGAAACTGAGTTTCCTTGATTCAGTGGTTTAATTATGAATATAGTTGTTAAATGTTAAGCAAATAGGTTTCAGAATGTTTGATTAGGAGGCTTCATTTCCTGTCCCCTTCTGTAAAACTGAAGTCACTTAAGAAATGACTTCATAGAAGCATCACAGGATGATGCTCAGTGTTAATGCATTTCAGATCCTAGGACAGAATGTTCAGAGAAAGAAAGATTGTTAATAAAATGTATCTAAAACACAAATGTATCTAAAAAAGCCTAAAAGCTGCTGGGAAGAAATTTGACCATGTGTCACATGCAGTGCCTTTCTCTGTATTTCAGGGGGGAAATGCAGAATAAGATCTGAATTGACAGATTTGCAGTTTCTTATTACAAGTGTCTGAAATTTGTATTCTCTGCTACCGTTATAGTATTCTAGGAAGGTGAACCATAGTGACAGCTCAGACAAATGGTTGAACCTGCTCACAACAGAACAACTTTTGTCACAGTAAGAAGGGCCTTACAGTTCTATGAGACATATTGTATGACTCTATTCCTGGCTGTGCCACATGCATCCTCTTTGGCCAAGGGGAGTCATTGACCTTGCCGTGCCTCAGCCCTGAGGCTTTGGAATGAAATTAGGCTGGGTTTTCAGTCTAAAATAGGAGAAGACAAACAAAACAGTCACTGTTTCCTTCCACCTCACGCAGTGTGTGAACGCAGTGTGTGAACACTTCATAGGAATTCAAAATTCTCTGAGCAACATGCAAGTTAGTGTCCAATTTAATTGCACCAGTAACTTATGCCATGTGTTTGGGCTGCAGCCCATGCAGTCTCTCCCTCACCTAAAATTTTAGGAATTTACAAATATGTCCAAGGAAAGAGCTTATTATTGTCTGTGTCGGTTAGAAGACAACAAATATTTGAGTGGCCACCCCTAACTCTATTTGTTCAGTGTGATAAACAGTTGAAAAGCCTTTAAAAGGCTGAGAGCCTTTGGGCAGGTAAATTGATTTCAGTGGTCTCAATGGCTGGCCCTGATTTAATAGGAAAATTATAGTACATGGAGTTGGCTGTCTCAGTAGTTACTTTCGTAGAGGGCATATAATGCAAAACCCCTCCTTTTAATGTCCTCACTAATAATTCTGAGCACATCATATTCTGTGTGTATGATCTATGGCTACAAGAAAGCCTCTTTGATTGATTCACTTCAGTGTTTGTTGTCTGTAAGAATTACATGTTGGAGAACAGTGAGCTTTCCAAAAGGCCACTCAAAGCCTGCTTGCCCTGCTGTGTCTTCACAACTTGGACACAGAATTCATTTGAAAGGAAGAAAAAAAATCTGAAAAATCTTCAAGCTTTTGAGGTGCTCAATCTTGAATTTATGTAGCTTCAAATACATAAACATGAAATTCACCTAGTGGTTTATCTGTGAAGTTCAAAACACAGATGGCTGAGCAAGGTTTTAGAAGAATATATAGAGATATTTCTGGAAAGTGTTGTACAAAGGCATAAGTA